TGCTCCACTCTGGACCTCAGTTTTCTCACCAATAAAGTGGGATAATAACAACTACCTCTCAGGGCAGTTTGAGGGTTAGGAAAATTGGTTTCATGGTACTAAGCATGTATTAGATGTTTAATAAAGCTTGGTTGAATGCGGCAGATGCTGGAACACAGAACCCTCCCAAACAGTGGACTTGAAAATATCAATATCTGTGCTGGGGTAATAAAAGTCAAGAAGCACCTAGAAGCATCAGCAGAGAGGTGGGAGGGGATGGAGGAAGAGTGTCACTGGGGAGGGGCTGTTTATTGTTCCCCCACCCGGGGGCATTTCAGGCTCCCAGTACTCTGGATCCAGCCACTGAATTCAATTAATGCTTGTCTCTTTATGATGGTGAGGAAATCATCTTGTAACATTCCAGATGCCTAATGAGTGTGTGTGCAACTACTGGGCAGTGAGTCCCGGAATCTCCCTGCCTTCGGCACGCCCTGGTAATAATGGAGATTATTAAAAGCTAGGAAGCCCAGAGTGACTTCTCCCAAAACAGACTTGGTCAGTCCCAACGTAAGCAGAGATTCAGAGTCTGACTTGCAGTCGTTCCAGAAAGAGAAGCCAATTACAACACGCTGTGGGGAAGGGGGATTGGAAACTTGGGGAATAGACATGGATGGACTTGCAGTTAAACCTGCAAAATGATTGTCCCCATTTATCTCCTCTCCCTCCAGGGGCCCCACTTAGATAGCAGCAAAGGAACTGAAATGATAAACCCACTACATCACAGGGAATGGAAAAAGATTATCAATGGACTAGAGATTTCAGCACATTTATGGAACAGAACAGTTGAAGGTAGCTGAGCAGAGAGATCCCATTTCCTTAACAGAGCTCCAGAGAGGCTTGAAAATTGATTATACCAGGAACAATGCAGGACAGTTTTCAGGCTTCCCTGAGAGCTCAGTTGGTAAAGAATTCTCGTGCAATGTGGGAGACCTGAGTTCAAACCCTGGGTTGGGAAGATCCCCTGGAGAAGGGGAAAGCTACCCACTCCAGTATTCTGGCCTGGAGAATTCCATGGACTACAGTCCACGGGGTCACAAAAAGTTGGACACAACTGAGTGACTTTCACTCACTCAGTGCCGGACAGGTGGGTGTGAGATATGGGATTAAAATCCAGGGGGCTGTTTGAAAGCTACTATATGGGACAGATGCCTCTGCTTCTGTCCCTAGGAAAACAAACAAATTAGTTTTTAAAATTACACTGTGCTGGAGAAAACAACCCTTCACAAATATTCTGGCCTGTCGAGATCCCCAGGATAATACTCAGCCTGCTGCTCCAGAACCCTTAACATGAAGCTTGCCCAGGTGCACAAAGCTCTCAGAGTCAGTGATTTTTATTGCCTCACTTTTCAAGTATGAGCCAATAACTAAGCACTTAAGGGAAGCAAACAACAACAACAAATCACAGAGAAAATAGATACAGCTCAGAAAGGAAGCCTTTAAAACCTCAAAATTTTGGATAACCAACAAGGACCTACTGTATAGCACGTGGAACTCTGCTCATGTGGCAGCCTGGATGGGAGGGAATGAACACATGTATATGTATGGCTGAGTCCCTTTACAGTTCACCTGAAACTATCACAACACTGTCAATTGGCTATACCCCAATATAAAATAAAAAGTTTAAAGGTAATTACAAAATTTTAAATTCTAGCATCCTAAGAGAAATCCAAGAGCCTGCATCCATAAAACAAGTCAATGAGTGCTAAATTGCTTCGGTCCTGGTAGCTCAGTGGTAAAGAATCCACCTGCCAGTGGAGAAGACACAGGTTTGATCCCTGGTCCAGGAAGATCCCACATGCTGTGGATGAACTAAGCCCATGCACCACAACTATTGAATCTGTGCTCTAGAGCCCATGCTCCACGACAGGAGAAGCCACTGCAATGAGAAGCCCGAGCACCACAACAAAAGGAGCCCCTGACCTCTGCAACTCGGGAAAAACTCACCCAGCAACAAAGACCCGAACAGCCAGATAAATAAATAAAATTATTTTTTGAGAAAGTCACATAGTGAAAAAAAATACTTGCTAAAGCATATAATTTACAGAACATTAGTGTCCAGGATATGTAGAGAGTTCTTACAAATCAGTAATAATGAAAAGACAAAATATCCCATCATGAATTGGTTGATGTATATGTACAGATAATTCCAAGAAGGATCTAAACCCTCAATAAACATTTAAAAATAAGTTCAAGCTCACAAGTTATCAGGCAAATATAAAACAGCTATGAGATATCATTTCCTACTTTTCAGATTGACAGAAATTTAAAATTTTGATGTTATTGAGAGTTGGTGAAATTGTGGAGTAGCGGGGCATAAAAAGAAAAGAAAAAAACACTGGGAGTAAATGTCCTTCAACAAGAAAACAGATAAGTTGTGGTATATTCATTCAATATTATATAGCTATTAAAATGAACTAGAGCCAAATATTTCATGTGGATAAATCTCAAAAATGCAAGCCCAGGAAAAAATTTGAATACTATATGCAAAGTAGCATTTATATACAATCTTGAAAATAGGCAAAGGATTCCACTTGCTTAGAGAGTTGTGGGCACATATAGTAAGAGTATAAAAAGACACCTAGGGATGTGAAAGATTAAATTTATTAATGCGGTTACCTCTAAGGAGAGGAATGAGAACAGGGGAAAGACGGAGACAGGAGCCTTCAAATTTATCTGTTGCATTTTATTTGGTTAAAAAAATATTTGAAGCAAATAAAGCAAAGTATAAAGATTTGACACAGCTGGTTACGGTGTCCAAAGATGTTCTCCACACGTTTCTGAATGTTTGAAGATAATAACCAGGAGTTTGGGGGAGATGTTTTAATTGAAGGGGACACCAAAGTGTAAACATTTTGTTTTATTTGCTACTTTATCCTTCCACTTAAAAGAGTGCCTGGTACAGAGGAGGTAGTCAATAAATAATTGCTGAATAAATAAATGTATGCAAAGGCATTGAGACATGCTAGAACATGCTGTGTTCTAAAAGAGCAAATCACAGTAATAGCCAACTTCTATCAAGCCCCATATGCATTGGCCTGGATTATTTCATCCTTGCAAGAAAGCATGGTGGTTAGGACTAGAGTCCATAGTCCATAAAAAAAAAAGTCTGAGTTTTATGCTGTAGGTAGTTTCAAAGTGTGGAGGAGTGGAAATAAGGAAATAAATAAGACAAGGAGACACATACACACACACATACACACACATTCCCCTAGAGTGCAAGGTGAGCGGGCCAGATGGAGTGGTGAGCATGCCCAATGCCTGATAGCCTGAGAAGCAGACTCACAGAAGGGGACACTTTTAGTCTGCCAGGGCAGTCAGGAAGACTTCACCAGGAGAAGACATCTGAACTTGATCTTGAAAATAAAGTGCACCTACAAATGCCAGGAACCCCCAGCTCTTCCTGCTCCATATCCAGCGGTTGTTGTTGGAGGATCTATTTCTCTGGGCCCTGAGCAGAGAGCCTGACCACACAGGGCTGAGACCACAGACAAGTGAAGACAGACTAACTTGAATGTAATCACCCATTTCAGGATGTTTGGTCTCACCTTTAAATACAACAGAGAAAAAAAAACAACTACCAGCTCAAAGCTCTTTTAAAATTGTGACAGCAGTAATAATTGCTTGTCCTTTAATAATAAGAGCTACCATTTATTGAGCATTTACTGTATGCAGGGCACTGGGCTAAGTCATCAAAAGCTTGTCTTTAGTTCTCACAACAACCCTAAGAGGCAGGTACTATTTATCCGTTTCCAGGGATAAGGAAACCAAGGCTTGGAGACGTCAGGGGTGTCCTCCACAGACCTATGCAGTTCGTAGGTGGAGCTGGGATCCCAACCCACCGGTTTCTGACTCTTCTCCAGCCCATGCTTTAACCACTGCTTCTCCCAAGCAGACACCCAATTAAAGAAAGGAGGGTTTTACTGCCTTCAATTGGAATAAATGAGAACGTGATCTGAGCATAATAAACTAGAACACAAGCTTATCATTACATTCATGAACACCTGTCACTGTCAGGCGTTCCGTAAATGCTTGTGAAATGAGGTAGCGTTTGGTTCCAGGAAATAAAAAACAACCCAGTGTCGAAATGACAGACTTCACCCTGGTAGGGATCAAGTAAGAACTCACAGCTCACGTGAACAAGCGGAGCAGGGCTCCGTGGGCACGCAGCCGGGGACAGTCGGGATCAACAGCGTCTCCCAGCAGCACGCTGAGAGCCCCGGGAACGTCCCCGCTCCTCCCCCAAGCCCGGTCCCACCCGCCCCGGTGCCCGCCCTTCTCCAGCTCGTGGGCACTTAGCCCACACGCCGCGGTCAGGGCTCCGCGCTGGGTACCGAGCTCCTGGGGGGAGGGCCGGGTCGCCTCTCTCAGGCCATCATCAGCCACACAAGCCTGTCTACACTCTTGCGTGAATAGAGTTCAGCGCTTCCTCCCAAATCCCACAGGTCAGACATACGTAGAGTGAGAAAAAACGGGACGAAAAGAACTGTGAAAGAGTTCTGCTTTTCAGATAAAGGGAAAGAGAGCAACCCATCTTCTCCCCTAGGAAAAGCTACCATCGCCAGATCCCACACATTCTATTTATTCATTTTAACATTTGCAGCCATCTACCAGCTGCAGGAGGCAGGCCCTGGCCTGAGTTGGCTGTCTTTCTTTGCACCCTCCCTCAGTTCACACTGCAGAGACCCCCTTTCGTCACCCCGCCCACCCACCCCCGACTGTGGGCACAGGGAGGGGCCGTCGCGGTCCGCGCTGCCAGGAGCACGCTGCGGATGGGAAGGCAGGTACAATAGACAGTCAGGGTTCACCACGGTACGCGGGCTCAGAGGGAGAGGTGTCACTGAGCAGGGAGGAGAGAGGGAGGGAAGGGGATGGCAGAGGAGGAAGAAGGGAGAGGAAGATAGCGTCAGCTGGTCTGGACTCTCCCCGGAGCCGCGTCTGACAATACTCCGGTCACGTTTTAATTAATTGCAAGGTTTTCTCATCGCCTCGAACCAGAACTCTGTGATTAATTTCCGAAAGAGCCTGCTGAGTTTAATCATCGCAAACACAATGATCCCGGTAATTAGGGCCTGAGCGGCTAAAAGCAGAAAATAAAGACCCCAGAACAGGCTATGGTCCTGACTTTGGTCCTCAGCTACCTGCCGGGTCCACGGCTCGGAGCGCTTGGGTCCCAAGTTAGCGCGGGCAGGGGCGGCGGGCAGGGTGGGCTGCGGGGGGCCTTCGGAGTAGCCCCCGGCCAGGCGGCTGGGAGGCGGGCTCCCGGGGCGCGGGCAGCCGAGGTCGCCGGCCTGCAGGGTCCAGAGCAGTCGGCCGGCGTGCGGCCCGGGCCCGTGACACTGCGGGGGCTCGGCTCGACCCACGAGGTCCGCGTGCCGCCGCAGCCACGCCAGGAACGGCCCCAAGCCACAGTCGCAGCGCCAGGGATTGTGTCCCAGCAGGACCTCCGCCAGCCGAGGCAGAGCCTCAAACGCGTCGCCCGGCAGGGTCTCCAGCTGGTTGTGGTCGAGCTGGACTTCCTCCAGGCTGCTGAGGTTGCGGAAGAGAGCGCTGGGCACGGCGCGCAGCCGGTTGCTGCGCAGCCACACGTGGCGGAGCCGGCCGAGCCCGCGGAGCAGGCCGGCGGGGAGGGAGGCCAGGCCTGTGGAGCGCAGGGCGAGCACCTGCAGCTCGCCGAGGCCTCGGAAGGCGTCCTCCGGGAGCGCGCTCAGCCCCGGGCTCAGCGACACCTCCAGGACGCGCAGGCCGGTGAGGTTGCGGAAGGCGGCGGCGGGCAGGGTGCGCAGCTGGGTGCCTGTCAGCCTCAGCTCCCGCAGGCCGCCTATCTCCCCGAAGAGCACGTTGGGGAGTTCCTCCAGCGGGTTCTCGAACAGGGTCAGGAAGGTCAGATTGTGCGAATGAAGAAAGAGGGCGGAGGGCAGGAACTCGAGGCGGTTTCTGGAAAGGGTCAAGGAGCTCAGGCTTCGCAGCCGGTCGAAGGCGCCGGGGACGATGGAACGGAGGTGATTGGTGTGGAGCTGCAGCTCCTTCAGGGCGCGCAGGCTGTCCAACAGCCCCGACCCCAAAGAGACCAGCCGGTTCGAGTGGAGCAGAAGCTTCTCCAGCTTAACCTGGACCCCAAACAACCCCTCGGGCAGGTGGGTCAAATTGTTTCCCGATAAATCCAACAATTTCAGGTTCCCCAGATGTGTGAACAGGCTAGCAGGCAGGAAAGCGAGTTGGTTTTGGTTCAGAAAGAGCTCCTGCAGGTGAACCAGTTTCTGAAACAGGTTTTGGTCAAGGCTCTTTAGTTCATTGTCGTCCAGAAACAACTGTTCCAGGAGCACCAGGTTATCCAACAGTGCGCCTGGGAGATGAGTGATCTTGTTGCGCGATAACCTCAGGGTTTTAAGTTTTATCGTGTCGTTGAACGTGCCCGGGGCAATGGCGGAAATGTGGCTGTCAGACAGCAACAGGCGCTGCAGGACGGTCATGCCACTGAAGCTGTTGTTCTGCAAGGTGCCGCGGCCCATTTGGAAGAGCAAGATATGCGTGAGGTTGGTGGGCAGGCCGAGCGCGGCGATGCCGGCCACCGTGCCGCGCGAGCACTGCGCGGCGTCGCGGAAGGCGCACCTGCAGGAGGGTGGGCAGGGAAACGGCTGCGCGCGCAGAAGCCAGAGCGCCGCGCACAGCAGAGCGCTCCTCAGCATGTCTGCGACGGCGTCCGCGGCAGATCTGTGGGTTACAAGCAAAAGGGCAAACGCTCGTAATCCTGCATGATCCTTTCACCGGGATTATCATTTACTTTAAATGTTATGCGGCTCCACGCTACGTCTCCCTCTCAGCAGTGCTGATTTTTCCTGGGTGGTGAAAAGTCATTTATTCTGCACTCCGAGGTCTCATCCTCTTGTTTCACTGATTTTCCACTCTTAATTCAAATCGGTAAAATTAAAGCATTTGCAAAGTATGTAAAAGATAATACCTTTAAATCTGTACATACCAAGAACTAACTAAAATAATCTTTCTCACGATCAAGCTTGGAGGTATCACAGAGCAGTGCCCGTTGTGAAAGTAACCCTGCTCTTCACTTTATTTTTTTGGATTCACCTTAAAAATTTTTTTAAATTTATTTATAATTTAGCCAGGGGTGCCTATGACCTACAGCCCAGAAGGGAACAGCGAAGTCTGTTAAAACAAAAGCAACCACTTCCTGATTCTTTTACTCACTATCATGCTGTATCTGCAGTACCTTCTTACTCCACTAACACAGGACCGGCTCAAAATAATGAATAGTCTCAGCCACACTGAGACAAGTAGGTTAACAGTACTTCATCACTTTATGCCACACACTGCTCTCAGCACTGTATTTAAATTAATGCATTTACTCCTTACAGTAACCCTGTGAAAGTGAAAGTCGCTCAGTCCTGTCTGACTCTCCGACCCCATGGACCATAGCAGGCCAGGCTCCTCTGTGCATGGAATTCTCCAGGCAAGAACACTGGAGTGGGTAGCCAGTACCTTCTCCAGGGGATCTTCCTGACCCAGGAATACAACGCAGGCCTCCCACATTGCAGGCGGACTCACTGCAGTCTGAGCCATGTGAGTTAAGTTATCCACAATTAAAGGATGCTGCAACTGCAGGCGCAGAAAGGTTAAGTAACTTAACCAGGGTCACAGAGCTAGAATTTGAAAGTATTTCTGATTGTGCCATAAATACGGAACTCACTTTTAAGATGCCTAATTAAAAATTAGTGCTCAAGGCACTGAATTATCCGTGAAACACAGACAGTAATACTAGTCTGCCAAAACAATGTTTCCCACATGTAATTTCAAATAAACTGCATCTTGTACTAAATTTTTACTTGTTATTTGTACAGACTAGCCAAGCCGTCCAGTTACCCACATTTAATTTTTAGAATATTTTAGAATATTTGGCCTTACCTGAAATGGCGCTGCACCCCAAAGCAACTGAATGGTTTAGAGCTTTGCATGTGACTTGGCACTTTCCAAAGGAAGAGGGGAGTATCTTTGCATCCTGAAGATAAAGACTTCCCCAGAACAAAAGTCATGGAAAGAGCCCTATCGCAGAGGGCATATTCTGGTTTTTTAATGACAAATAAATGACAACTATCTTCAAACTTTGAAAGAGACCGTTTGTAACCCAAGTCCTGCTGCCAAAGCCCAAAGATGAGCAAGAGGGGCGCAGTTTCTTCATAACTGGCACAGTAAGACCTGGTGATGTGTGTCTAGTGTCACATGGAAGGACCACTGAAGCAGCCACATATCCCTGGACGGTCTACACTTCCTCCGGACCTTCCTTTATCTGCTACTTCACTCCAATTCTACTCAGGCTCCCCTCTGCCCCTTTTAGGAATAACAAGGTTAAGGACATTCTCAAGTGCTCCACTCACCTTTTAAAAGTATTTTCAAGTATGTTCCACAATGGCCTTGCTGGGTTGAGGGTGTCCACATGTTCAACTGAACATAGGAATGTCCAGCTGCTTTGCAAAGAAGTTATACCAATATACATTGTCACCTACCATGTATGACGGGTCCTGTCCTTCATCTCCACCCATGCCTTGAAACTTTTTTTAATTTTAATTTTTGCCATTCATATGAAATAGTTGTCTCAGTGTGGTTTTAGTTTTTCATTTCCCTACTGAACGAAAAACTTGAGCATTTTTCCTCTTTTTAAAGGCCAATCTTCTGAGAAATTTGGGTTCTTTTGACCATTTTTCTATATGGAAAAATAAATGATTGTCTTTTAAAAACTCAATTGTAGGTATTCTTTATATATTCTGGATATTAGTCCTTTGTGGACTGTAGGTGTTTGTTGCAGATATCTTCATCTAATATGTGCTTTGCCTTTTCACCCCCTTTGTCTTTTATTGAACAGAAGTCTTAATATAGGTAGTTATTAATCTTTATGATTTGTTTTTTGTGTCTATCAAAATAATTCTTCCTCTTCTCGCAAACCAAAAAACTTCTCCTATAATAACTTACTACATTTTAGAATATTGTCTTTTGCATTTAGGTCTTTATTCCATCTAGAACTGATTTTTGTATATGATGTAAGTACAATTGCTTTTTCTCCAATAAGGGATCAGTTGTTATATATATACATACATACATATATATATCCTTTCTTCCCTCAGAGCTACAATGTCAGCACTGTAACAGATCACCATTGGATGAATGTGTGGTCTGTGTTCTGGGCTATTTGATAATCCCTGTGCCAACACCACACTGAAATATAAAGCCTGAAAATATCCAGTGTTTTATCAAGTGAAGAAGTAGACATTCTCATACATTGGTGGGAATATAAATAGTAGCAAACTTTGGGGAGAAAAACTTAGTTGTATCAGCCAAATTTTAAATATACATATTGTTTGTCCAATAGTTCCATTACTAAAAATACATGCTATGGAAATGCTCATTAAGACATCTACACACAAACTTATTTGCAGGATTGTAATAGGGGGAAAAAAGCCTAAATGGCCATCAATGGGGAAGTAGTCATTTAAATTACAGTACGTACATCCATGCAATAGGATGCCTTGCAGACTTTGAAAAGAACGGATTTGAGCTGCAACTACTAACATATAACTTTCTAAAATACACTGAATGACGTAAAACAAGGGCTGTGTAGCATATAACATGGGGTTCTACACAAACGTGTAGGATTTTTAAAAACATGAGCATATATATATATATATTTTCTAGAATACACCCAAGAAACTTTAGTATTCCCCCTTTGGGAGAGAAACTAGGAAAAAGGTGACTTCCTTACATACCTATGAGGTTGAAATTTTATCAAATGTGCTTAATGTTACTGTTAAAATTTTTTTAATGCAAATATAAAGTAATTTGGAAGGGAAAATGGCATTATTTAAGAAAAAAAGGAAAGAACATAGGTATTTAAAAATACTGGGAAAAGCCAGTGCCTGAACTGGAAAAGAATAAACATTAACTTCTGGAATTATTGACTGGAGTGGTACTGCAGAAATGGTCTTTCTTTTATCCTGGTTGGGAAAACCAGGAAAACCGACACTGGCAGGTGTTAACAGGAAAGGAACTGAAATCATTCAGCCTTTGATGTAGTCCAATGCAGGCAAAGCCCACTAAATGCTAAACTGACTGAAATAACCTTTTAGAGCATATAGTCCTAAACCACAGGGAAAGCCACTGCCTATGCCAGGTGTTGTGGGAGGCCAGTCTTCCCACGCAAATCAAGGGAAGCAACTCCAGAGCCCAAACCAGCTCCCCAAGAGGAAGTCTGTCATGCACATACCCGGCCTCACCAAGTGAGAGGCCCCTTGCCCACCAAATGCCTGGAGCCAGCCCTGGAAGAGGTGCTGTGGACCAAAGTACAACTTCGAGTCAAACTCAGGAGAAACTTCCTTGGCCTATTTCCCCAGGAAGATTTCTAAGAATTACCTCCAAGTTTTATTTTGAAGAGAGGACATTATAACTACCCAAGGAGGGAACACTGGGCACAGAAGTTGCAGACGGTGGAGGAACACTGAGTTCATTCAATGGACAAACTGATGAGCTAATGAGAACTTTGAGCACTGAAGTAATGACAGCACTCGTTTCCAGTCCTTTGGATTTTGAATTCATGACACAAGTCAGGAACCTGCTGTCCTAAGTGGCAGCTTCTGGATCAAAGTTCCAGAACCCTGGCTCACAGGGTTTGGCCATTCAAAAGCACATCATTCACCTGAATGAGATACGCTTTTCTTCCTCCACGCGGGGAGACTCCAAGGCCAGGAATCTCCCTGTGCTTGGGGAGTAACTACAACCCCAACTTGGCACGGGGACAATCTCATTCAAACTCCTGGGACTCCCTCTGTCCTCCCCTGCAGTATACACCCGAGTAAGGCACCTGGAACTGATGGAGGGGGAAGAGGATGGAGAGACCAGCACAACTGTGCCACCACCAGCAGGCTGTGGTGCAGGGGATAGGACCAACCCACACCAAATGGAAGGAACTTGGGCTCAAACTAGGTCTTACACCAGGCAACCATCCACACGGCTCACAGCAGACACACCGCTCCTGCAGAACCTGTGATACAAGGAAAGCCCTCCTACCCAAACACAAGGCCAGGTACATCCTGCCCTCTCGGGATTCCTATGGTCAGTACTTAGTTCCAAGGTTTCCCACTCCATGGAGTGCTCTTTTCACATTCATGGGTGCTGCTTCACCTCAAGCTTACCATGGCTTACATGGCATTAGCTTTTAGTTTGATCTTCCTAACTATTAATAAATTCTGAGTCCCTAGTCTTCTATTTCACCATTTCCCTCAGATCTCCTGATACTAACATTTGGCTCTACAATGCATCTGACTGATGGGTTACCATGGGCTGGTCACAGACATGTGACACGTGGAAAGCTGCATTGTTTTCTTGAAAAATTCAAAGTTAAAAAAAAGAAACGGGGGAAATATTAAATCCAGGAAATATTGAATCCAGGAAAATAAATCCAGAGTGGGCAGTATTCATGTAACTGAAGAGCAAACAGATGTATATAAAGACACAGAAAAAAAGAAATGTTATATCATTCATTTAAATCTTTATTTTGATCAGCTTCAATCAAAAAAAATTCATAAGGTTATTTACAGTACTGAATGTACAATTTGAATGTATGCCTTTTTGACATCAGGGTACCATTCTTGAGCAGCAATACAATTTTAAAAATATAAAGATGCAGTATCATTTCTGATATAAAGTTACTTAAAAAAATCCAAAGTCTTAGGGAATTCACAAATCATAACAGAAAGTAACTATTAATTTAATGTGCACATAATTACCAAATCTTAATGCATTAAAAATATGTGTAAATGCCCACAGACTGTACAAAAATTAACATTTTGTTAAAAGTTCCCAACCACCTCCCACCATAAATATACAAAAGTCTATTTTCAGATATGTCAAAACTACATGCGTGAAATCTTAGAATGTTTTCTAAAGCTGGAATTCTGCTCTTCTCTGGAGACTGGATCCATAGCCATTATGGGAACAGAGTACATAAACGCTGATATAACTTTCTTTCCATGCCTTTGAAACTGTGCAGTTATTTTCTTAAACATGGGAAACAAAATAAATAGTAAAAACTGCAACAGTTTTATTTAAATGCAAGTAGAATTTGGAAAGCTTTCCAATGTAGGGATTACAAAACTAATATAAAAAATTTTTATTTTATTGTTGGCTTAGCCACTTTTTATTCAAGCATTATTTGCAGCATTGCTTTACAGCAGTTGGTGCTAAAAGTTACAAAACATATAGTTACCACTATTTATATTTGAGGGAGGGGAAAAAAAAAACTTTAAACAACCCTGAGGGAGACACACATTAAAAATCTTGTTATTTATTTAAAAAGTTAAAAAGTTACATATTATTTAACAATTACTTTTCTGGACATTTCTGTCCTTTAAGTATGTGCATAAATAAAATTTAAATCAGCAATATTTATTAATCTTAATACATCAAAATAATATATGTACAGATTTTAAAATTTAGATCTGTATACACTCAAATAATTTAATGTGAAATTCAGAATCGAAATTACTATGTAATGGTGACCTACAGAGAGAGGAGGACTCTATCTATGGCACTGAGCAGGACCCACACCTGGACTCACAGACATTCTTCAAATTACATTCTGGAAGCCATCAAATAACAACCTGGACAACCCACCTTGTCTGTATTCAAATCTAACCTCCTACAAATGCTTTGTCTACCTACCTAAAAACCTCATTCCTCTGAAAACAATATGGGAAGATGTGATATAAAACCCTTATAAAATCTAAAAGTTAAAAAAGGGGGGAGGGTGTCAAAAATATAGCTCTTTTATGATCATGCTCTTAAGGATGTTAAATACAATCTAATAATTGGATTTTAAGCTGCTACTTAGCAATTAATTATATGCTTCAGTATTTAAATCAAAGGATACACTCATATGTATTGAAAGTGAATTGAATGTGGAAATTATAAAATGATTAAGAGAGTAACTATAGAAAAAAGTGCTAATTCACAGCTCAAGAGGTCTAAGATGCATAGCTTCATAGAATCATTCATGGAACAACTGTTCTTATCATCTAATGTGTATTAATATAGCATCATACTTTTTGATGGAAAACTTCGATTATATTTTTGCAAGAATCATCAGTGGCCATAGCAGTAACAGTGATCCTGAGTGTAACTTACATTTTTCTACAGTTACCAAACATCATCAGGTCTCTGCAGCATAAAAAATGAGAACCATGTGGTTCTACGGTTCTGGGTAACATGTGAACAAATTAGTAAATACGTATCAGGAAGATAATGATCAGCTAGAAGCAGAAAGCACAAGCATGCTACTGGTCAAGGAAGAACAGAGGATAAGATCATACAGTCTTAGTAGTTTAGTAGCTACTTTACAGCAGTACCAGTTTTCCTGTTTATCAGAACGCTGGACTTTGCCAAACTACTGGATCTTACCTATAAAGACATTTTAAAATCACCTTAATTTTGTTTAGAATTTAAATGCTAACCAGGAAAAACAGAAAGGTGAAAAACATGTTCCACATTTCTTTTGGCTCAATGAATTTTTTTTTTTTTTTGAACTTCATTTTTTTTCTCCCAGAAATTTCCACAACCCAGTATGTTCATTTGCAAACACCCAATCCAAAATAGGTACACTCTGACCTCTGGTGCCACCTAATGGCATAAAACACATTCACCAGGTTCATACTAGTATGAAAAAATAGCAGTCATTCAAAGCCGCTCGTTTTATAAGCCTCATTATTGACAGGAGAGACCTACATCAAACCTTTAAAATTGTAAGAGGGAAAATTCTAACTCAAAAAACTAAAACATAAGAAACCAAAAGACAACTATCCTATGTCTTTAGGTAATAAGAGACGTAAATGAAAATAAAAAGGCATTAAAAAAAATATAAAACCTGAGAGGGGAAAAAAACCAGGTATGAGGGGATATTAGAAAGATAGATCTACATCTACTGCCAAAAGAAATAAGCTTTCTTCCTACTGAAAAATATCTAACAACATATAACTAAAGCAAATTACACTACTGACACCAGACGTAGCCCAAGATGCACTTAATAGCTTTGAGGGACATCTCAAGAAGGCAGTGAAGCACCTTGCTGATAGAAAAATAAAACCCAGGCAGTCTGTACAGAAAATATAAAACCATAAATGGAAATTACCTGAGTTGTTCTATAAGCAACACCCTAAACTCACTCCTAACTCTAGGCTATCAAAGAGAACTGGTGTATGTATACAAAGTTTTCTTTGGGAGAAATATTGAAATCAAATGAAAACAGGCTTTTAACCTATTTTCATTGGAGGCTAATTAACACTCATTTATCAATCACAAATTTAGGGACTGTATATAAATGATGACTTTTTCTAAAAAGGGGGCTGTGAAAATAAATTTAAAGGCATAAACTAATAAGTCTTAGAAAATAATATCTAAACACCTTTCAGATACCAACTTTCTTCTCTACCCTATAGAGTATCACTGAGGGTAACAAGGAAGCAAGTTCTGGAAATATAATATTTAGAGTTACTGAATGAAGGTATAGGACTTTATAGATACTTATTTAACTGGCAGGCCAATTTCTTTCTGTTGTTGTTTTTTAAAAAAGAAAGCTCTCAAATCAGCTACTATACTGGAAGGGGTACAAATTGAAAGGGTGCCATTCTGATGCACAGGATCAGATAAAGTCCTACATTTACACTCTCCTCAATACTGCTACCAGAATACCACTGAGACCGATTCACTGCTAGGTTATGGTGATGATCTGACATGACCCATTCTCCTTTACTAAAGCTTTAGCTTCTGTTGTTGTTTGAGGTTTGGGTGGCCATTCCGGGTCAACTAAGAGCTCCTGAGCCAGATACATGTACTTGGCCTTTGGCATCTTCTTCCTACAGTTCAGGGCCCAAGACAAGCAGCATTTCCCCCACCAATCCAGTGACTCCTAAGAACATAAACAAAAAAAAGGGACACCCAGTAAATTAGGAGCTGCTCTTTTTAACAATTTTGTTAAAACATAGTTCATCAGCACAGAAAAATAAGAGGAAATGACTTCTCAGTACAAGAAATACATGAAAAAAAAATACACTTAAAAAGTCAGCTTTCAATTAATTAGGAACATTATTTTTTAAGAGTATATTTTTTAAGTTATCTATGTAATTTACTTCATTTTATTTAGTTCTATGTTCCTATCTCCTCTTGTATGCATACACATTTTAAAAATAACTTGTATATCTGGAGCCTATGATTCCATTACATAAAACATCTAATGTATTGAGAATAACTTTAAACTATTCAGCAAGAGAAAAGATTGTTAATATGAAAGCCCCAAACTACCTTTTGGTGCAATTGCTTCTAGCAACTTAACCACCTGATCATTTTTGGAAGAAAACGGTGTAAAGAAACCACGGCTACTGTTAGTATCACCTTTCAAAGTATTATTTAAATATTGTTAGGTCAAAATCAGAGCTCAGATCATGTTTAATGCCTCTCACTTCTTTTAAAACCACGTTCTCATTAACATAAAACAAATGTATTTTATGGTGAACACCCTCGGTATTCCACAACTGCAAAGAGGTATAAAGCAAGTCCTATCTCTTAGTATCATATCACTACAGAAAGCTCTGCTGCCACAGAAATCCTTCTGATCAATCCTAATGTTTTTACTGAATGTGATCTTAGTTCTTGGAGAACAAGAAAGCAGAGTTCCTGGTTACTGTACAAAAAAATGTAAATTCAGTACAGGTCCTCAGAATTTGTCTTAATTGAAACTGGAAATAAAACCAAATGACTATACTGAGATCTGTAGTTACATTCATCTCTGAAGAACAGTCAATTCTTAAATTACTTTGACTGTTTCTTCTACAAAGAAAATTTAAACCCTAGGTTGTTTTGTTTTGCCATCAACATATAACCCAGGCTACAAACAGGTGTAATCTCAACTGAAGTAAAGATGACCCTTGAGCAACATGGGTTTGAACCTGCGCAGGTCCACTTACATGTGAGTACAGTACTACGTGATCCATGATGGGGTGACTCTGAAGGTATGGAGGAGCCCCATTATCTGGGGATTCTATAAATTATAAATTATATAAATCATGGCAGATTTTTGGCTGCGGGGAGAGTCAGTGACCCTAATCCTTGCCATATTCAAGGATCACCTGTAATCTCACAGAATGGACATTCTAATGTTAACTCTCCAAATACTTTCATGATCGAGAAAGACAAATTTGATGTAACACAGATCCTGAAACAATGAAGAACAGCAAAAATACTTTAAAATGAAAACCTTTTAAAAATTACTTCATACTTTTACTCGGTTTTTGCTCAGTAGGTCTCCAGGACCCACTACTCTCTTCTCCTTCAAAACTGGGGTGGGCACGTGGCAGAGCGCCAAGCACGTAAGACACGAGAAAAGTGAAAGCCGCTCAGCTGTGTCTGACTCTGCAACCCCATGACATATACAGACATCATAACGACGTGCTTGTAAAGGCCTTCTAGTCTACTCTGTCGACAAAACACAGTCAACTGCACCATCACCAAGAGTTTAAAGGCAAAAACTGTGACCTGTCACGGGTAAGCTGTATTAAATTAGTGGTGGGGTGGGTTACTGGGGATATAGATTTGAGGATTATTTATCTAGTAGCCTCTCTATCATAGCTAAAAATAGAGTTATTACCACCTTAAAGGAAATCCACAGGAAAACATCTGATTTAGAATACAGAAGAGACTAGACAGAGGATTCTTCAGTTGATCCAAAGAACAAATAATTTCTTTGCAGTACAGGCATATGCACGACATATTTAATCTAAAATTACGGTTCACCACTTGGACCTATCTTTTCCCCAAGATTTGTTCAAATTCTTCAATCTAACTGCAGAAAAAATAAAAAATCACTATTCCTTAATCAATGTGAAAGCTGTCACTTTTAACTTTATAGCAAATGACATTGTTAAAGGATCACAGACAAGGGCGAATGGTGAAGGAAGGTGACTTTAAAAAAAAGAAGAGAGGGGGGGACCAGAAACATATAGGCATTGTTGCCCAGATGATCCAGCTAGGCTGAAAGCACTGCATAACAGGCTGAATTAAGGAAAGTCACAGTCAGGTGTATTCAAATGTAAGATACACACACATACAACACACACACACACAAATTAAATTAAATCCATCACTCCCCACCAGTAAAGTAAAGCAAGCAATAACATTTTAAACAAATTCCATTGCAAACAGAATCACAACTGAATAGTATTCTTTTTACATTAAAGTGTATGTTTAAAAAAAAAAAAATCCCCATGTCCCTATTAAAAGCAGCATACACTTGTTATAATAAATTAAGTCCCATGGAACACTAGGGATCCCCCCCTGCACATGAGATTCATATTTTGTTCTTGAACCCTCACCTCCCCTAAATATTATACACAAAAATACACCATAAGCAAGCACAGACTTGTTAGTTTACAAACACAAGCATACCACAGATATCCTCAAACAATGTAATTCATTGGTAGAGAAAATAAAAGGTGCTACAGGCATGCCAAAATGAGAACTAAATCAAGGGAGAGCAGACGGTGGCGAGAGAACAAAGGCAAGCACTGTGCAAGGAGGGGAGAGCTGCGTCCCAGGGCTGAGTGTGCACCAGGCCTCTCTAAACATCAAGGCCAAGTCCCTGAAGCAGAACACAGGAGCCCCAGTAACAGGATCCTGTGACTTGCTGCTGAAAGGAAAGGTTAAAGAACCAAGTGTATCCCTGAGAGAAGGGAAAACAGCTACTTCAACCCAGCAGAGAAACCACAAAGAACTTTCAAAAAGTTAAAATTCTCCTGCTTCTTAGAAGACCAGTCCAAGCTGCTCATTCCAGAACCCCAATGCCAGCTAACTCCTAGCAGTGTCTTTTCGGAAATGTTTTCAGGGGTAGAAAGTAAAACATAAAGCTATGCTAGGGGGAAAATGTTGTTAATGGTACTGTGGTATTCATTTAAGTCTTTTTTCATATCAATCCTGAATATAAAACAAAGACAATCAGAATTAGCATTCTATCTAAATAAACTCGAATAATATCCTAAGTGGCATAAAGACTATGGCTGACATCTGGATTATTTTCCCTCTAAAAGGAAAACAACATCAGGACAAATTCTCAGGCATTATCAAAATACCTGATATAAATGACTTCAGTTTTACATCCAGCACTAAGCAGCCTCGGTTTATCAGCTACAGGATACATACAAACGCTTCTTTAAAAGAATATGCAGCACAGATCTTCTCAAACACAGGTAAAGCTGCCTAGTAAACCACAGGTGATGGGGTCCTCCACTGAACACTTCTCATTCAGCAGATGAAAGGTGGAGCTCAGGCATTTTGTGAATGTCCTTGCTTGAAAAGCACTGCCATTTTAAGAATCTTTTTTCCTTTCTTTTTCTTTATGGTCAGAGAATAAGTATTAATATCTGGGGCCACTAAAGATCATTGTAGGAAAAAAAATACTTAGTTACACTAACGTTTAAACTTTGATTATTTACAAGTGGTTTACTTAACCATTTGATTCAATTTGATTTAACGGACATTTACTGAGGCCACTGAGCATTAATAAGAAAAAACTTATTAATATTTTATTAATAATAAAAATATGGAAAATAAATGACTATTATATAAAAACCTTACCTGTATCTAAATTATGTTAGCTGCATGAATGTTCAGTGGGCAAAAATATATATATATAGATAGATATCTAAAACATCTACTATTAAATAAAATGACACCTAAAAGTTTATTTGGTTTTTCAAGAATTTTCAAGCCTCTGAAGCCTTTCTGTTACAGGAATATTATGGTCCTGGACCCAGATAAAACTGAATTTGAATTCCAGTTCTAACAACATTTCCTCATCTGTGAAGACAGGATTATCTTTAATTTCTCTATCCTAATCTCTTAGGTGATTGTAACAATTAGAATTTATACAAAATACCTCCTGGTGTCTACCATAAAAAGTAGGTACTGAAATAGTAGCTATTGCTTATCTCCATTTTGTCACTTGACTGTTATGTTTGTTAGTTTGCATCTTTATGGCCCCATAATGTGAGGCAGTGTGGCACAGTGGAAAAGACATTCCTCTTGAAATTTGAAACCCTGGCTTCAACTCCCAGCTCTGCCACTCTTCATAAGCTGCATAACCATGGCAAGCTGACTGAATGCTCTTTATGTATTAACTGAAGTTAGAAATACCTTAAGATTGGAAGGATGTGGCGGGGGAGGGGACTGTAATTATTCCTCATTGAGTCTCACAGTAATCTGACTGACTGATGGGTCTCCAAGGGCCACAAATATGAACAGTGAGAGTAAACTACAAATGGAAGTGTCAGAAGATGAAAGCACAGCATTCTGTGCTAAGTTTCTAAGAACTCTCTTTACTAAAGCCAGTAATTTTAAAAATGCTTCCTTAAATCATGACCCTAGATAATGAAGGCCAAAACGCTTGTCTGCTCAGTGATGCTCAGAACTGGTGAACACGGGGGCCCGCTGGAGCTGCCAGCTTCCAGACCACTCTGCTACCTCCACTCTGCCCCACAGCGCTTGAGGCACAGCTTCACATGAGAGGCACGAACTCCTACAAACAACGAGGACACATACTCACTTATGAACTTTTAGAAAACAGATATAACAAATGATTGAATTTTCTGCCACTTAATTTTGACTGAAAAGTGATGAGGCCTTTCTAATTCAAATGGTTTAAAGGAGCTTTATGATACTCACTTTTGACTTAATCAGGGTATAGCTCCTTTTCAGAATCTGCATTTCCTGTTTAGATTAATAGTTGGAGATCTCTTTGGAAAAACTAAAAACTCAACAGAAATGTTTTCCTTGGCCAAGGCTTTGACAGTACAGACATTTTATATGAGGACTGATGATATGACCCAGACTTAACCATCTGAAGTAATGCAGTGAGATAACCAGGATTGAGGAGGTCTTGCTCAGGACTTGAGTCTCTAATACAGCTCTGGTCACACTACTGGAGACCACTGGGTATTACGCTGTATTGAGAAAAAGAAGTGAAAGCGGATTCTAGCTTCATCACATCATTACAAAACTATCCCTACCCATCATGGAGCATGAGAAGAGAAAATGGTGCTCTATAGGACCTCTTATAAAGTGATCCTGTGATACTATTCTAGGTATCAAGCCTAATGAATTACCACAGCAAAGCGCAGAACACAGCTACTCAGGTAAAAGAAGGCTAAAAATAAGTGAGTGATCCACACCAGGGAATCCTCTTGAACTCAGAAAGCATCTCTGTGGCTTTGGATCAGTGAAAGGTTTAGAACCCATGTGTATAAACTGTACCTATAAATAGCAATGGGCGAAATGAGAGAGTGAGGCTTTATGTTGTCAAGTTCTCTGCACTCAGAAAGCTGGCTCAGTGCTGTGATTCAATGGTACTGGTTTAAAAATAAGACCAACCTATATTTTCTATCAAGAATTTCAACATCCTTAACACCAAAAAAAAACTGGTTTTATTCTTCTGTTTCTTTTTCCTTTTTACCACAGAAACAGTAAAAAGTCCTAAACCACGGTTTGCATAAAACTGAGCACTCTCTCTGAAAATTTTTCTGAATGATGAGAAATTGGGGAAACCCAAAGTTAAGGTACAGTAACTAACAAAGAATCAGAAATAATTCCTCAGAATTCTGACTTTTGAACACTGATCCATGAAGAAAATCTCCATTTCATAACTTTATTTACATCCATCTCATTTAGCTTCTAATGGGACTCTTCATAAAAACCAGACACAAAATGAAAGCCAGACAGAAATGAAAAAATTAACTTTTACCACTGAGGACAAGACCTTTGCACACTGACATGAAAGAGATCGGAATGGAAAAGAGATTTAGAAATTTCTTAAGTCCTAAAACATCTGTAACAAATGCTTGCCATGAATTTTCTAGGATGTCTTACAAAAAAATGAAATTCCAGGCACAGAGGGAAAGGTTGAGCAACACACAACAGAATACCATCCTACACAATGCAGAGTACACAACTGACGTGAAGAATTGAGTAAGGGCTGATTTCCAACCTGTGGTGGCTGTGTGGTGGTGAAGCGATATTCTCCTTGTTTGTCTCGACTGAACACAACTTTCCAAAGGACCATGTCAAGGAAGAAATTCTGAGAGACAGTCCAGTGAGTTAAGCATTAAAAACAACTACATCATTCTTTATTAATGCACACATTTAAAAAAGTCACACAATGCAGAAACATTAGTGAAAAACATGATTTGGTTTTCACACAGAGAATTTCAGTTAATATTGAAAAAGGATAAAGAATAACAACGGGACTTTTGTAACAAATATAAATCATCACAAATTCTTAGTAAAACAAGGTCTCTAAATTTTCTACAGAATATGGCTTTTATATGAATCCTCAGGCCTTTCTCATATTAAAATAATGCTTTATAATCTGAATTAGTTTTTGTAACAATGAATTATTTATATTTAAATATAACTATGTGAGTGAGCATGATGAAAAATAATTCTTTTGATAGTCAGCAAGAATAAATCAATGGAGATTAGAAAGGATTCCCCAGAAATCTGTTTTTTAAAAATATTTTATCTTAACATTTACATGAAAAGATAAACTACAGAAAAAGGAAAGCATTTAATATACATTATCTTAGATGTGCTTTCCATAAAATAGCAAAAATACATTAAACTGGGCAACCTAAAAAAATCAGTACCATATTACCAGGCCACCCACTATGGCCCCAATTTTAATACCAAGTCATTTTTTAGAAAGATAATAAATTAAACATAATTTCTAAGTCTAGTACTATTATCTCTAAAATATACATATTTTCCACAAATACCTAATTTTAATTCAAAAGCCTACTCTATGAAACCCTTAACTTAAAAAAATCACAACTGGAACTTCCCTGGTGGTCCAGTGGTTAAGAATCTGTCTGCCAATGGAGAGGACACAAATTCAGTCCCTGATCTGGGAAGATCTAAGCCCATCTACCTCAACTACTGAAGCCTGCAGGTTCTAGAACCTGTGCTTTGGAGCAAGAGAAGCTATCACAATCAGAAGCGCATGCACCACAACTAGAGAAAGCCCACATGCAACAATAAAGACCCAGCATGGCCACAAATAAATTTAAAAAAAAATCACAACTGTATCTCCTTCTTCATTTGATATACTTCTACTCTAAGAGTGAATTATAACAATAGTTCTGAGAAGAGACCAAATTTTATTAATAAGCAGCAAAGGAGAACTTACTAACTCCTTTTAGAAAAGCTGACCTAAAGGCAATCCTAGAGAATAACTGGATGGTATACAATGGATCAAAGAATACCTAAGACTTCCTCCTCCTAGGGAAACTTCAAAGTAAATACCAAGGCAGAAGTTCCAGCAATTGAATAAGTTTATAACAGTCATTATTTTATTATATTTTCAGTAAACTCTCTTACTATTCATGTTTACTATCCTTCATGGAGACAGCCCTGCCCCTCTCCTCCCTTGAATGAGAAGCTTTACTGTACATCACAGGACTCGGGTGGTACTCTGAGCTCAAGGCCTCGGTTTACCAGTTTATGAGCCAACAGAGCACCAATCTTCTCAATCACTAATTTTTTATTTCTAAGTGCTTATTTATGACTGTACCTAAGTGATCTCTCTCTTTTTGGGGGGCCACACTGCGTAGCTTTCAGGATCCTAGTTCCTCGACTAGGGATCAAACGTGTGTCCTCCACAGTAAAAGCGTAGAGTCCTAATCACTGGACCACTAGGGAATTCCCTCATGTCTCTTAATATGACTATTATTAGCTCATAGAAAAAGTGAGACAAGAAGGCTAAAAGAATTTAACTAGAGTGAAACAAACTCTTTGTGGATCTCCATAATGTTACCTATCCTTTTCCTGCATTACCATTAAATCACCAAGAATCACAAAGCAGCAAGGTAGCCATTTGATTATGTGAAGTGCTACTTACCTCTACTGCGATTGAAACAAAGGCATTGACAAGAACGATGATGAGCATAGTTATACGCCACGGATATGGTACACACACTATCTGTAAGACAAAAGTCGATATAGTATGTAGTTGATATAACAACATTATATCATAATTTCCAAATTTATTTAATTCCTCTTATATACCAAACACTTTCACATATACTATCTACTCAGTCCTCAACAACGCCATAAGGCAGATACTACATGCACTTTTCAGATGATAACATGTAAAGTGAAGTAACTAAATGCTTAAAATATACGTTAAACGGCTGAACTTGAGACAATTCCTATTCAAATTCAAAAGCCCATACTCTACTAGATTATGAAATTCTAACATGTCCTTATTTTTAAAAAAAAATCCTATCTTTAAACAATGAAGTAGACACTGATCTAACAATGAGGTAATACTCAAACTCTATACTGTTTAAAGCAAATTCATAAAAAAGAACTATCAGTTCAGTTCAGTCGCTCAGTCGTGTTTGACTCTTTGTGACCCCACAGACTGTAGCACACCAGGCTTCCCTGTCCGTCACCAACTCCAGGAGCTTGCTCAAACTCATGCCCATTGACTCTCTGATGCCATCCAACCATCTCACCCTCTGTCGTCCCCTTCTCCTCCTGCCTTCAATCTTTCCTACCATCAGGGTCTTTTCTAAAGAGTCAGTTCTTCACATCAGGTGGCCAAAATATTGGAGCTTGAGCTTCAGCATTGGTCCTTCCAATGAATATTCAGGACTGATTTCCTCTAGGATTGACTGATTCGATCTGCTTCCTGTCCGAGGGCCTCTCAAGAGTCTTCTCCAACACTACAGTTCAAAAGCATCAATTCTTCGGCACTCAGCTCTCTTTATAGTCCAATTCTGACATCCATACATGACTAATGGAAAAACCATAGTTTGACTAGATAGACCTTTGTCGGCAAAGTAGTGTCTCTGCTTTTTAACATGCTGTCTAAGTTTGTCATAGCTTTTCTTCCAAGGAGCAAGTGTCTTTTAATTTCAAGGCTGCAGTCACCATCTGCACTGACTTTGGAGCCCAAGAAAATAAAATCTTTCACTGTTTCCATTGTTTCCCTATCTACTTGCCATGAAGTGATGGGACCAAATGCCATGATCTTTGTTGTCTGAATGTTGACTTTTAAGCCAGCTTTTTCACTCTTCTCTTTCGCTTTCATCAAGAGGCTCTTTAGTTCCTCTTTGCTTTCTGACATAAGGATGGTTGTCATCTACATACCTGAGGTTACTGATATTTCTCCCTGCAATCTTGATTCCAGCTTGTGCTTCATCCAGCCTGGCATTTCACATGATGTACTCTGCATGTAAGTTAAAGAAGTAGGGTGACAATATACAGCCTTGACATATTCCTTTCCTGACTTGGAACCAGTCTGTTGTTCCCTGTCTGGTTCTAACTATTGCTTCTTGACCTGCATACAGATTTCTCAGGAGACAGGTAAGGTGTTATGGTATTCCCACCTCTTTAAGAATTTTCCACAGTTAGTTGTGATCCACACAGTCTAAGGCTTTGGTGTTGTCAATAAAGCAGAAATAGATGTTTTTCTGGAATTCTCTTGCTTTTTCTACACTCCAACAGATGTTGGCAATTTGACCTCTGGTTCCTCTGCCTTTTCTAAATCCAGCTTGAACATCTGGAAGTTCTTGTTTCATGTACTGTTGAAGCCTGGCTTGGAGAAGTTTGAGCATTTCTTTACTGGAGTGTGAGATGAGTGCAATTATGCGGTAGTCTGAACATTCTTCGGCATTGCCTTTCTTTGGGACTGGAATGAAAACTGATCTTTTCCAGTCCTGTGGCCACTGCTGAGTTTTCCAAATTTGCTGGCATATTAACTGTAGCACTTTCACAGTATCATCTGTTAAGATTTGAAATAACTCAACTGGAACTTCATCACCTCCACTAGCTGTGTTTGTAGTGATAACTTCCTAAAGCCCACTTGACATCACATTCCAGAATATTGGCTCTAGGTGAGTGATCACACCATCGTGGTTATCTCGGCCATCAAGGTCTTTTTTGCATAGTTCTTCTGTGTATTCTTGTCACTTCTTCTTAATCTCTTCTGCTTCTGTTAGGTCCATACCATTTCTGTCCTTTATTGTACCCATCTTTGCATGAAATGTTCCCTGGCTATCTCTAATTTTCTTGAAGAGATCTCTAGTCTTTTCCATTCTATTGCTTTCCTCTCTCTTTGCATTGATCACTGAGGAAGGCTTTCTTATCTCTCCTTGCTGTTGTTTGGAATTCTGCATTCAGATAGATGTATCTTTCCTTTTCTCTTTTGCCTTTCACTTCTCTTCTTTTCTCAGCTATTTGTGAGGCCTCCTCACAAATAGCGTTTTGCCTTTTTACATTTCTTTTTCTTGTGGATGGTTTTGACCACTGCCTCCTGCACAGTGGCATGAACCTCTGTCCATAGTTCTTCAAGCACTCTATCAGATCTAATTCCTTGAATCTATTTGTCACTTCCCCTGTAAAATCGTAAGGGATTTGATTTAGGTCATACCTGAATGGTCTAGTGGATTTCCCTACTTTCTTCAATTTAGGTCTGAATTTGGCAATAAGGAGCTCATGATCTGAGCTGCAGTCAGCTCCCCATCTTGTTTTTGCTGCCTGTATAGAGCTTCTCCATTTTCGGCTGCAAAGGATATAATCAGTCTGATTTCGGTGTTGACCAACAAGTGACGTTCATGTTTACAGTTGTCTCTTGTGTTGTTGGAAGAGGGTATCTGCAATGACCAGTCTGTTCTCTTGGCAAAACTCTGTTAGCCTTCGCCCTACTTCATTTTGTACTCCAAGGCCAAACTTGTCTGTTACTCCAGGTATCTCTTGACTCCCTTCTGCATTCCAGTCCCCTATGATGAAAAGGACATCTTTTTTTTTTGGTGTTAGTTCTAGCCGGTCTTGTATGTCTTCAAAGAACCGTTTAACTTCAGTTTCTTCAACATTAGCGGTTGGGGCATGGACTTGGATTACTCTGATACTAAATGGTTTGCCCTGGAAACGAACAGAGATCATTCTGTCATTTTTGAGATTGCACTAAGTACTGCATTTTGGACTCTTTGGTTGACTATGATGGCTACTCCAATTCTTCTAAGGCATTCTTGCCCACAGTAGTATAATGGTCAAATGAATTAAATTCACCCATTCCGGTCCATTTCAGTTCACTGATTCCTAAAATGTCGATGTTCACTCTTACCATCTCCTATTTAATCACTTCCAATTTACCTTGATTCGTGGACCTAACATTACAGATTCCTATGCAATATTGTTCCTTTATAGCATCTGACTTTACTTCCATCACCAGTCACATGCACAACTGGATGTTGTTTTTGCTTTGGATCTGTCTCTTCTTTCTTTCTGGAGCTATTTCTCCACTCTTCTCCAGTAGCATACTGGGCACCTACTGACCTGGGGAGTTCATCTTTCAGTATCGTATCTTTTTGCCTTTTCATACTGTTCATGGGGTTCTCAAGGCAACAATACTGAAGTGGTTTGTCATTCCCTCTCCAGTGGACCATGTTTTGTCAGTAAGACTATAAACTGCCAAATTCTCCAGAGTAATGTTTATAAAAATTCAGATCCTAGATATCCTTGCCATCCTTTGACCAAGAAATTCTACCACTGACATTGACTTCTAAATATGTCTTTCTTAATGAAGTAGAAGTATGCAAGTATCTGCAAATACAGCACTGTTTATAATAGCAAAATAGCGGAGATAACCTAAATATCCACTAAAGGAATTAGTTAAAATATAGAAAAGTCAGTGAAATAAAGCTCATCCATAAAGTTCATTTAAGTTTTATATCCAAACCTGTCAATAACATCAAGAAAAGAAAACTAAGTCTGATTTCACTCGTGCAACCAAAAGCAAAAATCCTGAAGAAAATCGTAATAAACTGAATTGTCAGATATAAAAAAGAATGCATCATGACCAAACTGGTGTTATTCTACAAATGCAGTACTGGTTCAACATTTGAATATCAGTCAATTGTAATTCACATTCTTCTCGGAGAAACACTGTGATCATTTCAACAGCTGTAGAACAAGCATTAGATAAAATTAAATATTTATGTCACCAACACCATACAAGTAAGCTTCCTCAATCTAGTAAAATGTATATACCAGAAACCTACAGCCCATAATATATCCAATGGTGAAATACTAGGAACGCTCCCCATAGATATAAGGACATTACCATCACACCAACATTCATGTTGTTAACGGACATGAAAAATACATAGAAGACATAAGGACTGAAATGTGAGAAACAAAAAAAAGTCACTATTTATAGATGATAAGTGTCTAAAACAAAATCCAAGAGAATCTAAAAATCCAAGAATAAAGTCTGACAAAGCTGATAGATGTGAGATGAATGTCTAAATAACTGCACTGATTCACCAGCATAAAAGGATCACACAATGTAATTTTAAACAGATACGTATCAGAGGAACAAACCCCCTAACACTACATGAATAAATCTAATAAAAACTTGTAGAAAAAGATATTATGAAGAAGTAAGGGAGGGCCTCCCCCTCAATTTTTTATAAACCCAGTGTAATTCTAATAAAAATTCCAAAAGGGCTTTTCCTGGTACCTGACAAACTACACTTAAAATTTATATGGAGGACGAAAAGCCCAGGAACAGCCAAAAAGATCATGATGAACAACAATGTGAGGTGAGGATACAGATCCTACCCAACCATGTATCAAAATTACTTATAAAGTCACATGACATCTTTATACCCATTAGACAAATGTTGGCAATGATGTGGAACAAAAGCTCTCATACAGTGGTACAAACACTGTGAAAAACAACTGGGACTTTATAAAGCTGAAGAGGGCATGCTCAAAATTATCCTAGAACACACCAGAAGAAAGAAACACAGCCAGTTTAGTCTCCGCCCCCCAGTAACATAAGAGCAACGGAGGGGGATAAATCTTAAGCCCTAACAATCACCCAGCACTCTCATCTGCTGTGTAACAATAATGTGTCATCTTCCCCTACTATCTTATTAACCACTGCTATCCCAGATCTTATCATTTTTCAGACAACCAGTAATAACTGATGCACTTAAGCCTTACCTGAAGAACCTGGTCAATAGAGTCAACTGGATGCAACATGATGAATAATATGAAAGCATACAACATAACCACAGACACAACAAAAAAATCTGGAAAAGAAAGTAAAAATTAAATTAGGGAGTTCTTTTAAGTAAAAAGGCATATAATAACAACTGGTATAGTGTCAATCCTAAATTTGATTTGAATACTTCTATTTAGGTGGATGAAGTATATAAAATGTGTGCTATATGATATTTCCTAGAATATGATAGATCATATAGGCCCAAAGGATTTATTTGTGTCATGTGAAAATAATCAAGATTTATTAAAAAAAATAAGGGATGGACCTTTATGGACATTTATTTGTATTTATCACAGATAGCCACTTTATAAGATAATCAAGCCAATCTATAATTCACAAACAGGAGACCAGACTGTTTAGGGCAAAATGAGACTATCATTTGAAGCTATATGCAAAGACAATTATTGTTGATTGTAAAAATGCTGGTAATAGTTATCATCAGTATTAGTTATAATCCTAAATAGAGGCATTCTAAGTTGAATGTAAGTATATTTCTATATCTATACTTACATTTCTATACTCTATACTTAAGTGAATCCCACTTTTTCATTAATCTCCTCCATGAAAATATTTCCACAGAAAACACTAGCCAAAACCCAGGAGTTGCTTTATCTGCTACTTTAAGTGTGGGCTAACCCTGTGGCTTGCTATTGTAGGCAGAGATGGTAAATTTCATCCATCAGCACTCTGGATCACTTTTCTAACTCAAAAACAAAAAACCTCTCTGCTTATGACAGTTTTGTTAACTGTACATACATACTTTCACATGCACATAAAAGCACACCCTTATGTAACAAGCTATGAGGCGGGTTCAGAGATAATCTCAATTATATTGGCAGATTCCAACTTTTCCCTCTGTTTTTCCTTGGTCTGAATATTTATTTCTAAGTTCCTATTTGAGGTCAGCTTCAAACTCAAACTTTACTATGACCACATATAATCAAAACCTTATTGTAAAGTCTTCAGATTGAGTAAAGAAGTTTAATATCCTATTTACAGACTGTAAATGAGGGGGGGGGGGTTTCAATATTTTTAAATGTGGGAGACATTTGTAAATATGAAATTTGTTAATATGTCAGTTGAAAACTATAGGCAACTTATTATTCTATTGAAACAATACTGTTTTATATATAAAACAGTTTGTTGCTGTATATATATAAATATTTATTTATTGTTCTAGTGCTTAGGCTGAAAGTTGTGTTACCAATCAAGCCATAAGTGAGGAATCTTTTCGCTAGAAGGCTCTGATCAACAGGGTGAAAAATTTGGAACCCATTTAAGATAAAAGAAGGAATTTTTTCTAGATTTTTTTTTAACCAAACTTCTACTAAATTCCAAACAGGAAATATAATATTCTATTCAATAAATGTAGCAACAAAAGTAATACATGTTACACAGCCATTCAAATATTTATATAATCAGTTAAAGAAAAAGTGTTTGGAAAGTTGCGAGCTGTTGAGTACATGAACATATACAAAAACACAGAAAGACTAAATCAGAAAGAGGACTGGGGGGAAAAAAGGTCCGAATATAAATGCCAGAGAGAGACACAGACAGAAAATGTTTTGTTTCAATGAAGTAACAGCCCATATTTAATCTTTTTCAAATCCTACTGCATTTTTACAATGATATGCAAAAACAGATTTTCAATCTAGTTCTCACACATTGCCAGAAAAAAAAAAATTTTTTTTTTTTACTCAAGCTGAAAAAACTTCTTACATCTACCTCAACAATATTCTCAAATTCTCATCTTTCTCCTACAACCACTACCTTTGATCACACCTCTAAAAATCTGCCAAGATTTCCATCTGAAGGAGAAAATAAATAATTGAATCCTTCCTTTGTTTAGCCAGGGGAGAAAAAGAGGCACTGTTGAAAGGAATTTGACAGGGGTGGTAGATGGCTGGCAGATCTGTGTAATAACCAAAATGGAAAAATGAATAAGAATTTCAACCAAGAATGGAAAAATCAGGCGTTCATTTTGTAGAGGAATGAGTTTCTAGGAGACTGTGCTCTCAGCTCCTGGAATCTCCTGGCACAGTCAGTGATTCCTTAGTAAATCCTACGAAGTGCAAGGAATACACTTCACCAGAAGACAGCTATCAAACTCTGTATTGGTGGTGATCGGTAGCTGAGCAAATATTTCACAAGTTAAAGGTTTAGATTCTGTTTCAGATACTGCCACAAGGCTATGTGAACATCAGCAAGTCATTCATAGTTAAATTTTTAGCTATAAAATGGGGATATGGTGAGGTTCCTATAGGAAAGAGTAGATTTATTATTCATATGTCCCAGCCTTGGCGTCACAGAACTGTCCTTAGTATCAGTTCCTTTTGATGGAATATGGCATCAAAATAAGGCACCATAAAGAATTTCCTTCATATTTACCTTAGTAAGTAACTCAAAAATAAAAACCTATATAGAGTAAATAGATCCAAAATACTTGTCTATGGCTCTGACATATACCTCTTGCTCCCTCCTTCTTCAAAAATACCAACTAGGATTGTCTGACCTATAACCACAAATTTCAAGTCTTTTTATTCCTAATCCTTCCTTCCTTACCCACTTACTTGTCTTTAAAAGGCCACCTTATCCTTCAGAGCCCCTAGGAATCTGCTTCAACCAATTCAGGCAAGGAAAAAACACACAGGCCTGAACAGGAGAGACACTGGCAAGTCAGTAATAATGCCTTCAAAGACTAAAAAAGAACCTGGATTTCACAAGCAGTAAATTATAGGGATCGAATTTTTAAAAGTGTAGCAAAAATTGAGGCCAGATCCCAAGAAATCACATCTAGTTAAGAGAGTGTTGGAACTACATCCATGTGATCATGGTCCTTGAAATGACAGCATAGTCAAACACGAAACTATAACTAGGCTGAGCTAACATCAAAAATAGGTAACCAGACTGAAATTAGGTTTTACTTAGAATCAAACTGAACCACTAGAAGTGAGGAAAAAAACTCTATAAAGCCTTACATGCCTAAGATTAAGGTTAATTCTTGAAGAAAACCACCTCAAGATAGACTGAATATATTACACTGTTTAGATATCAAGAACAGCAAGTAGCAGGCCCCAGTGAAGACCTGTTTTCTGTATTCTAGAAAAGGAAAGGCTAATGTCCACTCTAGGAAAGACTTAACCTTTCCCCTACTCTTCTCCATCTATATTTACACTTTACATTGTATATCACTTTATACAGTAATACTTTATTTCTGTCATTTCTTACTTTCTTCTCTACTTTTCTTTACTTACCAGTATCAACTACATTCCAAGATCAGGGGACTTCAATCACAGACAGACAGACAAGATGTGAAAATCAGCAAATTATGTATTAATATATGTTGACTTTCTTGTTTCTATTACATTTTCCAGGAGGCATGTTTTATGACAGTATGCACTTCTGTAACTACTGACAGAAGCGCACAAGCTGCTAATAGTAAGGACAAAGGTTTTGTGTCTACATTTCTACTAAAATATCATTTTTAACACACATTTAAAAAAAAGTATGGCCATCAACAATTGAGTTTATTTAAATCAATTTGAAGTTAAATGGGAATACAAAATATTTAAACCTTTAATTTTTTTTGAAGTTTCCCATAATAATATAAAAGATGCATTTGAAAATAGGCATCTAATATCTAATAGGGTGGACTTACTTAGATCTCTAAAATGAACTTTCCTGGTTTGACTGTCTTGCTTATTACCAACTAGTTTTTCTCTTTGAGAGATGTTTTAGCTGCCCTTGGGCATGCTCAGTATTTCCTTGAAATTTTAAGATACTCAACCAAAGATAAAATATATCAACCGTAAGTTTGACAAGTTCATCTTATAATAATATAACTTTAGTTATGAAGTTCTCTTAAAAAGTACAGTGATACATCTTCTATGCAAGGCCTTTTGTCCTCAATGGCTTTAATATGATTTTCAATAATATAGTCTTCATTGGTTAAGATGAGAAATATCAGTTCATTTTTTAAGAAAAAAAGTAAAAACAAATTTCAATTATTATTGGCATTTAAATTTTTGAACAGTCTTACCTGCTTAAAATATAAAGTAATAAAACCTGCCCTACAAACCAGAGGGCAGAAGTAAAGACTAAATAAGACAATGTATGTGAATATGCTTTGTAAACGCTACATGAGACAGAGATGTGCACATAATCCCTCCTATGAGACACCAAAAGCTGAGACCTAACACTGCGCCAACCAGAACACTGGGACATCCTTACAGCAAGAGAATAACTACTATTCACCCCAAGACACTGCAAAAGTCTAAAGTTCTATATGAAAAAAAAAAAAAAAATTAGGTTGTTTGGTATATTAATTACTGCAGTTTCAATTTCTTAAAACCAGCAACTTACATAAGGTGAATGTTTTTTTCCCCCCAAAACCCTAACTGTGATCAATCAAAATGCTGTCTCTTACAGCCACAGGCAAACAAGTTTTCACAGGCACAAGCCTTCATCCTACTGGCCCCTTCTGCAGCAGATGTAAAGGTAACAGAAATGGAGAACCCCAGGTGAATACTGGCTGAAACGGTGTCAAAAATGATGGAAGAGCTGGTGCTATGCAGACCACCCAGGAGGAAAGTATAATACCCACTGTTCCAAGTGAGGAGCCTCTGTTCTTGCTTCTAATTCTAACTTTGCAATGGGCTGTAAAAATAAAAGTTGGAGCCAGAGGAATAGGATGTGAAAACCAGGAATGTTTAGAACTGCTGACTTTAATTTTAAACCTAGGGTGGCAGCTATCATGAGAATAAAACAAGAGAGTAAACATCTAAATCACTAGGTTCATTCTATTTGTGAAGATCTATTTGTTTTGAAAGGACAGTTTTAACTATACTCCTGCATTACTTTTGAAGAAGGGAAGCAAGATGGAAATCACAGTAAATGCCAGACTTACAATTCTTGTAGCAAGGTTGCCTGAAGGGTTTTCCTTTTGAAAAGGCAATTGCCACTATGAGGTACTGAAAACTGGAGATAAAAAATACTGTGGTATTTTCATAATTTTCTATGTTATGTTTATCAGGATTGGTTTCATCATTCAAATGTGAAGAGTTCCCATCTAGGCTTCCTGTTGTATTAAAAGCACTACAACACACAAAAAAACCCTTGTATTAGTAAACATAGTATCTATGTCCCAAAGGAAACCAATTTTTCTTTCTAGTCACATTCCAGTCAATTTAAAAAATTAGAAGAAAGAAATTTCATTAATTAATAAGCCCCTAATTTTTAATAAACCCTTTCCCCATTCTTTTAATTTGCAGAGTACTTCTAGCAAGGGGCTTCCCCAGTGGCGCTAGTGGTGACGAATCCACCTGCCAATGCAGGAGAAGCAGGTTTGATCCCTGGGTTAGGAAGATGCTCTGGAGGATAAAGTGGCAACCCACTCAAATATTCTTGCCTGGAGAATTCCATGGACAGAGAGCTTGGCAGGCTACAGTCCACAGGGTCCCAAAGAGTTGGACACAACTGAGCGACTGAGCACGCACTTTCAGCATAGTAAAGGTAGAGAGACTTTAAGTTTACCTATGTGTAATTAATTTTAAAAATGTTATAATTTGTGAACTGGAAAACATTCAGCTCATAAACAAATAAAAGATCCACTTAATACTTTTACTCAAATTTTTTAAGTTTCAAAATGCCATTTCTCAAAGTGAGGGTAGAGAATTTAGACACATAGATATTCTGAGTTTAGAAGAGACCCTCGTAATTAATTTTACTTTTCTCATTTTACACATAAGGAAAGCAAGGCTCAGTAGCAACTTAAGAAACTGGTCCAGTGCTACCATCTGGGTCATGATTATTAGGACCTGGCCTGACCATCTTCCAAGAGATAAAGTCAAATGCAGGTCAAATTATTTAAATGTGTAATCAAGCTGCATGCAATTTTTACATAAATTTAAACATACTATTACATGCATATACACTGCTGTTGTTGTTCAGTCATTAGCTAAGTCATGTCCGACTCTCTGCAACCCCATATACTCTACACATTTTTTTTTAATGGACTGACCAACTTACTCTGAATATGGATGTGATTCTTTATACCAAGTCTGTTGCTTGACCCAGAAAAACCCCAAAGACTGAAATCCAATGGAAATGATAATCTGAGACAAAACGGAGAATAGAAGGGCTCCAGATATAAGACCTGAAGGTGGTCTTTGTGCCACAAGTTCCTTCCAGGCTGGATTTAAGCTCACTACATTGAGAAGAAAGAGAGGAAAGGTTTGTATCTAAATTAATTTGTCATTATAAAATACATAATCAGATTCACTTAGGAACTTAAAAAAACTGTTTTTCTCTAACAAATCTTTAACATGAAAAATCTCCAAAAACCAACCCAGATGCCATACATGTTTACGTAATCTGTAAAAGTGAACAATTTAGGCTTTTTCAAGAAATGGCTCAGGAGTACTTTTTAGTCTACTAAAATTCAAAGGAAACACTAGTACAAGTAAAAAGCATACTAAATATAAGGACATATCATCACCACCCTTATATGTTTAACTAAGAATTTATTTCTGAATCTTTAATTGTAAAGCTACAGTTAAAATAATACATATTTCTTCCGCTTAAGAAGACATTAACAAAGGTTTGAAACTATATAAACATAACAGTAACATTAAAAAAAGACTTTGATCACTTATTAAGGTCGTGACTGCCAAGTTTCTCCACTGTAATATTTCTATTTTTCTCTTTGTAATTAATAAGTAACTTGTAGAAAGATGCTAAGACTGTGTAAAAAATCCTGTTTCTTATTGACTCCATTCACTAGTTTTAGCATTCACTAAAGACTGTCAAATTCAGTGATTCACAACCAAAGTGAGTATGACCCCTAGAGAACATCTCCAATGTCTGGAGATATTTTTGGATGTCACAAGTGGGAGAGTGCTCCTGGCATCAAGCGAGTAGAGGTCAGAGACCCTGGTAAGCAACCGGAAACACAGAACAGCACCCCCACAAAGAAAAATTATTCTAAAATGTCAGTAAGACCAGGATCTTTCCACTGTATAAGCCAATCATTTCTTCTATATTGTTAGTTAGCATTCTACTATAAGGAAGGGCTTTCCCTTCTCTCCCAATTACTTATTTCCAGTATGGACTTGTGAATTTTCATACGATTAAACAGATCATATCTCATTACCATCATTATTTACTTTGATGTTAACATCACCAATACTGAAACAAACCAACACCTTGTCTCCTTACATGATGTACTCAGGAGGACACAGCATCACTTCTTTGATATTCCTGCCAAGAATGCATAGCCTGAGTCTAATAAGAATATATCAGACAAACCCATACAACTGATTATCTTTCATAAATGTCAACATCAAGAAGTCTCCCCAAAAGGCTGAATGTAGTAATATGAATTAAAGATGACAAAATGGATATGATAACTAAATGAAGTTTGTGAGCTTGGACCAGATCTTGGGCCAAGAGACTAGGGGGAAAATGGGTATAAGGTTATTTTTGGGACACATGACAAGACTCGAATACAGGTATGGATTAGGTAATATTGTATCAATGTTAAATTTCTTGGTCTTTATAACTGTGTTTGGCTGGATAAGAGAATGACTTTGGGACAAAATATACTAAAACATTCAGTGGCAAAGGGGCATGATAATGTAAACACAGTTTCAAATATTTCAGAAACAAATGGAGAAAGAATAAAACAAATGGGGCAAAATATAAACAACCAGAAATAAAAGAACCTTACACAGAAAATGGAAAGATGTGCACTGTGTTATAATTGTTCATGAAAATTTACCAAAGTTTAATAAGCCACATCAGAATTTCCTATGCTTTAAAAACAGTAACAAAACAAAATACTTACTTGTAAATACTACTACCAAAATGATTGCCAGATCAATGAAGAGAAACTGGAAGTCTCCCAGGTTACTTAAGATCTAGAGAAAGGATTTTTTTTTTTAATAGAGTTCAGGAACTATTCTTACAGTACCACTTTTATACTATTTTCCCCCTGCTTTTATTAACTTTTTCCTCCTTGGTTTTAATTTTTTCCCCCAATAATGACGACTTCAAAATGACACTTGGCCTGCTTAAAAATTAAACCATTTGGTTTTAGATTAGTGAAACAGAACATATTTACAATATATTAGTATAAAAGGGAGCTTCTAAAAATCCATTCAATAAAAACCTTTAAAAAGTTTTTTGGCAAAAAGAAAGCACAGACTTCTACCCACAATATTCAACATTCTTGAAAATTAGTATCTTGACACTTCCTTAATATCCAACACCATCCCTCCTGATGTTTTCCACACATGGTAAAAAGGGATAGTTTCACAAAGACTCCTCGGCATCTCACCAATGTTCACTCAGAGAAAAATCTAAAGTGAGATCACTTCAACCACAAAATCCATGGAGTACCTAGGGACATCACTTGTTTACACAAGTCCTAAAAGTACAGCTGAAACATCTTCTCTCATTCTGGCCTTTCCTTATAAATGTATAGCAAAGTTAACTGCAATTCTAAAATATGTCACAGCTTGACATTTTAAAGAGTTCTGGAAAAAAAATGTCCAATCTGTGCTAAAGGCAAAAAAAGAATACAGTTATCTTTAATTCACAAGGCTGAAGCCACAGCTGCTGGCCTTAAAGAAAATGCTATTCCAGATTAACGAGATTTTCAATTTGCTACTCAAAATTCAGTAAACCAAAGGAAAATTTATAGGTGCTAGTTATTTAAGTTTCACAATTAATGAATATATTCAAACTGAAACATACATGCCCAATATTTTTAATTTAAATGTCTTAACACTAAGCACCATCTCTGGTGGCAATGTCAGTACTCACAGAATACAGCAGAGTAACACTGAAGTACTGGATAATGCTGTACAAAGCCATAAATTTAAACACACAGAAGGAAGTCATCAAGGCTGCACGGCCTTCCCTGTGAAAATAAATGTTGGCATGTGAACAGAAGTATTCTAAACACCTCCTCCAAGCCACAATTATATCTTGACAGATGAACATCAACATCCAAGTTACAACAATGCACTTTTTTGCCAAAAAGAACTAAGCCAAAGCAGAACTGGAAGAAATGAGGAGTAGCAATCAATCTGTTGCTAAAGCATCACAGATCAAGTACACTAACATACCATTAAAACAAATTCATGTCACTTTCTATGACCTTTTTTTTCTGTATTAATAGAGCAAGCTACAAAAAGATAATAGGAAGATTTCTAATGTATACTACCTGATAAGGTTTGGCACACAGGAAATACTGGGAGTTCTGGAGGTAAAGGGAGATGCCACTGAAGCCTCGAGCTCTGATAAGGAAATGCCTCCATGTGCCCTCTTCAGAGCCTAATGGATTAAAGAAGAAAATTCTTTTGAGTTTTGGGTACTTGACTTAGCCAGAGAAAGAACTGTAAATCACAAAGTCTATACTTACACCACAATCATTTGCACCGTCACCGCACATCCCAACATAGTAACTAAGAAACAAAAATTATGTTAAGATTTTTATTAATTTCTTAAAATACACAACTTTTAATTTAAGATTTCCTCCAGTATGGTACTAGGAAGAGTTAACAAATTAAGATTCCCCACTGCTAACTAATAAATCTTTTCATTATAATGACCACAGGCACGTTACTCTGCAAACAGCACCAGCCTACAACTCAAATGACTTGGGTCACTGTTCTATCGCATGGACATCTCAATTGCCTCATCTTTAGCACAAAGGACTCAGGCCAGCCTAGTCTTCAGTACTTGCTTTTAAGACAATCAGTAAAGATTTCTCCTTTAAAAACTTGAAAACATCATTATTTACTAAAACTATAACATTACTTCTATCAACCTAATCTTTAGCACAAAGGACTCAGGCCAGCCTAGTCTTCAGTACTTGCTTTTAAGACAATCAGTAAAGATTTCTCCTTTAAAAACTTGAAAACATCATTATTTACTAAAACTATAACATTACTTATATCAACCTAATCTTTAGCACAAAGGACTCAGGCCAGCCTAGTCTTCAGTACTTGCTTTTAAGACAATCAGTAAAGATTTCTATCAAGCTGAGTGAATGAACTCTACCTTATGGCTATCACCTAGAAGAGGAATGGTGGATATGTACTTTAAATAAATAAGCACTTGTTGGTTGCTTAGTCACTAAGTCGTGTCCAACTCTTCTGGGACCCCATGGACTAGAGCCCACCAGGCTCCTCTGTCCATGGAATTGTCCAAGCAAGAATACTAGAGGGGGTTGCCATTTCCTCCTCCAGGGGATCTTCCTGACCCAGGGAGAGAACCCCAGTCTTCTGTTTTAGAGGTGGATTCTTTACCACTGAGCCACCAGGAAGTCTCTTTTAAAGAGGCTTACCTGTCTTAGAGTTGACACATTTATATACATGAAATATTAGTTACTTTTCTGGTTTTGAAAACAAAACTACAATTCATAAATATTAAAAAACAAAAACAGGAAAATCCCTGGAAGTTCTGTGATTAGAATTCAGAGCTTCCACTGCAGGCAACACAGGTTGGATCCCCAGTTGGGGAACTAAGATCCTGCATGCCATGCAGTGTGGCCAACAAAACAAAACAAAAACAAGACCCACCAATACTTACTCTACATTTTGCAATGCTTCTACTAACTGGGTCTTCTGATCAGGTGCCATACGAGCAAATACAGTGCCATGCAGCATCAACTGGAAAAACATGAAAGTTCTTTAAAATACTGTTTGCCATACAGTCATATGAAAATATACATAACCCAAATCACTAACCTTAGGAACAAGGTCTTGAAAATGCTCCAGAATCACTGAAAACGATTTTCCATTCATTGCAAAGTGATAACGAGTCACCTGAAGATCCTCTAAGTTATCATGGACCAATTTAATTGGAATAGCCTGTGTAAAAGACATTCAGAGCAGTATTCAGGCAGCCTGATCAAGTAAAAAAAATCCTATTTTGAATATATTTGATTCAAAACTAAATTTTTTCATTTGATGTTTTATATAAAATGCTGTGTTAAACATTTATTGAATGTTAAAGAAAATTCAATTTTAAGATAATCCATCTATACTGTTTATTTAAAGAATAACACTTAAGAAAGTCTAAATATCAGCTTCAATTTTAAATGATCCATGAGCCAAATTTATGGACCATCTACACCATTTACCACTACTTTTAAAATAGGATAAATAATTGGGATTCTTATCATACAAAACTGTGCTTCTTTACTTTGGCTAAAAACATCAAATATTAAACACTGAGATATTGCATCTGGCCCCATTCTAGTGAATTGAATTCTCTGAGGAGACGGCTCAGGCTTCTGTTTTTGTTAACTTTTTGTTTTGTTGAGTTTTAATGCACCACTTTTTATTAGAATAAATTAAAACAAGCAATCTTCAAAAAAGAAAACTCTACTTGACATTACCTCCGGGTCAATTGCTGATGAATCGTTACTCTGTGTCATGGTGTCTGCATAATGCCAATTTATCTTGGCAACTTTCCCATCCTTTGGAGGTAATGCTTCAGCAATAATAACTTTATCCTGAGGTAATATCATTCCACAGTCTCTGGCTACAGAGACGGCAGTCAACATATTGTCACCTAATTTTCAAAACATTGAAAATACATTAACATTAAAATGAAAACATAAATGTATTAAACAACAAGTACTTACAGAGAATCTACCACAGTCCCCATGAGTGGGCTGGGCAAAATGAAGTTAATGTATAGTCCTTACTCTTGGAATTTAAAAGTTATCTTGGAATTTAAAAGTTATCTTGGTGTTAAAAGTTAATCAGGACATACATATATCAAAGGAAGCCTCAAATCAAAAGAAGATAGATACTAAATAGTCAGAACATTCTCACCCACAACTGTTAAAAGTCAAATACATTCTCAACCTTTGTGAGTCATGCACTAGGGGTACCCATTCAATGCTTGGGACAGTGCTCAATAAATATTGTTGAAATAACCAAGGAGTGACTGGTAATCTGTACAAGAATATGAGCACAACATAAAGAAAAAAGTGAATTACAAAGGCAAGATTACACACAAACACACACACACACAAAAGCAAAGTAACAAGTATACAATCTTTATAAAACATAAAGGGAAACAAGACAGACAACTTCTCGGTCATGAGAGGAAAGTATTAAAGACACTAGTAAAGACAAGATCAAGGAGGAAAATACAAATGTACAAGAGAAGAAGGCAAAGGTTTGGGAAGCCCACTGCAACCAGAACGGAGGTACTATTGTTTCCTCCTCCCTTAATCCCACCCACTGTTTCCAAGCAAGTCTTCCTGTGACCTGACAGACCCTCTTGGGACACACCATATTCTGTCAAGGCAGGACAACAAGGACAAGCGATACAGACAGAAGGAGCTTTGAAGCCAAGTCACTAGGACCAAGAATTGCTGGGATGCTAATAAATTTGGTTTCTTAAGCAATCTGGTATCAGACGGACCTCAGTTTCTAAACATAAAAACATATGCAGATCTTCTCTGTAAGTCTCTTACTGAACACATAAATGTTATAAAGTGAATGCCTTAAATCTGATTCTTTGCTAAGAAAGAAAACTTTAGAGCTGCCACAATTTCATACAGTTAAGAAATGGTAACTATCTAATATTATCAACAGTGTTAACACCAAGAGAATCCTTTGAATGCAGCAGTCAAGAAAGAAACAAAAAAATGGCTCTTTTCACTATTACATATTCAAACAATAATAAATTTACTATTCTATATATAAAAATATAATTCTAACCAATCACTTCCCATGTATCTGGTGGCACAGTTCTAAAAATTATAGACAATCCCAAAATAAGTCAATCATATTCTTAATCCTCAAGAACCTTATATTCTAGTAGAGAAAACAAATCTACAAACAACTAACACAAGCAAAGGAAAATAACCGCTATAAGAAACATGATTAAAGAGAGATAACAAAAAAGAGCATAGCTAAATATTTATAGTATGTCCTTCGCTAGTTTACTATACTTATTATAAACAGATCTAAAGGATTTCCAAAGTGTATTGTGAAGTTGTCCTCTATCTTAGAAAAGTATTCAGAGCTGAAACAGGGCAACGTAGGATGCAGCTACTCTATGATAAATTTAACTACTTGACTTATAAGATAATAATGCAGTATTAGATGAAATTATATAATAATAAGTAGGCTTTTATAATGCACTGATCATTCCTCAATATTGGATAACATGAACTCTAAGAGTCACACTCAATTTTTTTGTGTGTCCTTTTATAAAGTCTAACCTGTGACCATGACAGTGCGAATGTTGGCTTTATGCAAATCTTCAAGTACTGCAGGGGTTTCTCGCTTTAATTTGTTCTGCATTATTATTAATCCCATAAAATCCATGTTGTTCTCAATGGCATCTCTGCAGAAAAAGAAATTTTAACATAGTGATTTAGTCAAGAGAACAAGCATTTGTTCACTTCGTTGATAAGGCAATTTAAAATAGCCATCAATTATAAACGAAAAACATTTTATATGCTGAATAAATGTATAAGTTTGAGTTCAACCTCCAAAAATTTAAATGTGAAAAACTAATTCCCAAGAAATACATTTTGAAATTAAATTTTACCCTTTGAAACATGGGTATATAAAGATTCTTAGGAAATGTATATCTTTGTAAGACACAGAACTCTTCTAGTACTAAGGAATATTCATCTTGTATCCTACCTACAAAATGAATGAACGTAAAATACACCTATTCCCTACTGTCTTCCCACACAACATACCCTAATTTAAGTGTTAAGAGAAAAGGAAAAAACTGTACCACAGGCACATTCAACAGTTATACTGAATTCACTATCAAGTCTTTGAGGAATTTTCTAAAACTCTTGATCAAAATCTTTATCTTGGAAGTGCGATGTAAAAACTATTAGCAGTCCAACAATGAGATCTATTCAGGACCCAAAGATGGGTCTTCTACAATGTTAATTTTCAGTAGTTATCAAGATGCTGTTCCTTCAAAGAGGTGATTATCTACTATGCACCAAGTACTACACAAGTCACTGGAAGGTCAAAGATGAAAAGCCACGATCTCTACTCTCAACTTCCCTGTAGCTCAGACAGTAAAGAATCCTCCTGCAATGCAGACCTGGGTTCAATCCCTCGGTCGGGAGGATCCTCTAGAGAAGGCAATGACAAGCCACTCCAGCATTCTTGCTTAGAGAATCCCATGGACAGAGAAGCCTGGCAGGCTACAAACCATGGGGTCGCAAAGAGTCAGACACGACTGAGTGACTAACACTATTGCTACCCCTCCTCCTCTCAAGACCCTTTCGTGGGGAAACAGACATGCAAGCAAAGAGATCACACAAAAATAATATGTGCTTCAGTACTATAATGGAGAAGTCTGTTCAGTGATTAGCAGCATTCGTAAACTAAAGCTATTGAAATCCTACTACAGAAATATTCTCTTCAATGGAGAAAGCATGGCTTGAAATTAGGGACCAAAATTTCAGACTTGGATTAACCAAGTGGTTTTTCTATAGTTTCAAATTAAACTATAAGGGTGCTTAAGTAAACAGCATCTAAATCTAAACACTTTTAAAATTATATAATTTATACAATGGGTAGTAAAGATATTAAAGAATAGTTAGAAAATTTAATACAAATGATACTGCTGGAGGTAACAGGAGAAATAAGTCTTGAAACTTGAAAATGCATTTCAAAGCACAAAGCTGTACCAATGTGAAACTACTGGGTCAAAGCTCTGTAACCATCTTCTGTACTGGTTTCTGCCTGCAGCTGGTTTCCTAACTCTCCTATGAATGATACTGGTCATAGAAATCTTTCCCTCTAACTAATGAAGAGTACAAAAATCAATTCAACATACACAGGTTCAAGCTATAAGAGAAATGCCAAAACCTGTTTCCACAGGTAGAATGGAAACACAGAGAAGATCTTGATTGAAAGATGAGGAAGGGAAGCAGAGAGAGAGAAGAGTTGATAGGGAGGGTAGGGTATCCTGGGCAGACAGAACAACTGGTCCAAGGCTGGAAGGTTGCCTGAAAGACAGGCTCAAGAACCAGAGGCAACTCAGTTCTCAGTCTTTTTTTTTTTTTTTCATTTATTTTTATTAGTTCAGTTCTCAGTCTTTAAGGTCAGGGAGGAGGAGTGGCCAAAGGCAAAGCTGTAAAGAAAGGCAACTCTAACATACCCTTCGTAGGAATCAGGATACAGTATTTTACATGTGTGGCTCCTAATCACAAGTATGCCTCAAACCATTTGATTACTACTGCTTTTTTTATGTCCCTGCTTAGGCCAAATCCCCCCAATATTCTGTTTTAGTGGGTAGAACTCCTAAAGTTGCTTTTCCTTTCAGTTATTATTTAGCTATCCACTCCACTCCCTTAATTTTCATCCAGAAAAATGGGATTGCACTATAAACACTGCACTTTTCCTTTAATGAGCTCAGAATAATTAAAATAAGTATTAATACTTCATAATTTAACCACTATCATATTTATGATATTTACACTATTTAAACTTGAATCTTATCTCACATAGACATATTTTTTTCAGCTGAATTCCTTGAACTGTACATGCTGGGTCAAATTGCATAAGTAAATTTAGATTTTAATAAGTATTATGCAAGTTCTTTATGAATTTACAATAGTGCAGTAGCAGTATTTTGGTTAAAATTTTCTCAAGCCTTCACTAACACTTGATAGCATCAATCTTTTGAATTTTGTAAACTTGAAGAAAAAAAACTCTGGTTGTGGTTTAATTCTGTAGTTCCCCCAAAACTGAAGTGTCTCATCACTTTCATGTATTCAGTGGCCATTTATATGTTCTTTTCTGATAATTATCTGTATCATTTACCCTTTTTAAAAAATTAAGTATGTGTTTCATTGTTTCTTTCCTGATTTATATTCTTGATCATGAACTCCTCTGAAAGGTGATGGGGAGCCATTGTTTATAAGAATTCCAGGTAGAAGACTGGTATTAGATTTGAATGTTAAAGACCTCTCAGTGGATAGAGTGTGTACACAGATTAGACAAAGAAAAAGTGGAGAAAAAGAGCTAAGTCCCTGAATTAGAGACAATGATAGCAGGGATGGGAAAAGAAAAGAGTCTATCTATAGACAGAATTAGCAGGACAGCCAACAAATCTTTCTTTCTGCTTTGAAATGCTAGGTACACCATGAAATATTCCTAACCAAAAGTGTTATTTTCAAAAGGTCAGGCTAGATCAGTTTTACTATAACAGGACAATCCTTGAATGTGAAACACAGCTGTAACTGGAGGTAAATATGATGTTGATAATGGCCATCTAACCTTTGGTGGTGAGGGTGGAAGGTGTATTTATTGTGACTCATGATACTCTGATCAAATGAGCACGTGGTTTCAACTACTAGGCAAAACCAAGTATGGGTGACCCTTGAATAACATGAGTTTGAAATGTGTGGGTCCACTCACACATGGATTTTTTCCAATAAATACTATTAGTACTACAAGATCCACAGTTGAATCTGCATGGCAGGTCCAGGAGCCAATCCCCTACAGATACCAAGGAATAACTGTAGATCATTGGAAAATAAACTTCTGTAAAATTATGTTTACCAAAAACATAACTATGTTCCTTGAACATGCCCAACACACAGCAGGCACTCAACAAACATTGAAAAAATAAATTAAAAATAGTTCCAGGGAGTTGTACTTTTATCTCAATTGCCTAAAACACTGAATTATGTTATATATTTGCACATATCCAATAATAATTTACCTAATAAATAATAAATTGAATATAAATGATTGCACCAGACTTTCATAAACATAAGTGATGACTTATTGGAAAAACTGTAGGCAAAACCACTCATCAACGTGTACCTGCCAACATTCTGCACTTTGTGCCAGGTCAGTTTTGACTCCAATTTTCTGTGTGCAAGAGCAATCACACGGAAGCCCTGTTTGGTGTAATCTTCCAAAACTTTTTCAAAATCAACAGGAACTTTTAAAAAAGAGAAAATGAAGGTCATTGTTAGAACTGTGACTAACAGCTTACACAAATATCAGGATTTCACTCAAAGCTTTGCTGCTTCCTTACCTGTTTCAGGCTTACAAAGACCAGCAATGACCTCTGGTGCCCCTTTCATGTAGGCATCCATCTTTCTGTCCCCGAGCACCCTGGCCACCACACACATACGTTGCAAAGCAGAGGAAAATGGGAACTGGCGAACAATTCCTATCTCATAAACAGCCTACAAAATTTCAAAAGATGCACAAACCATTCATTATTTTTCAAAGAATTAAAACAGATATACCAGTATATTTACTATACCTCAATTAAAAAGAATTTTTTTAAAGATATACTTAGGTAATGAGTAAACATTCTTCACTTACTGGAAGTTCAAACAGCTCCTAAAAATAAACAAGACAAAAAGAATAAAGTAAAAGTACAGATTAAGCCAATTAACACACTCAAACAAACAAACAAAAAAATTTAACTGCATATCCACAAAAAATTATTTGGAAAACAACACAGAATTTTTAATATTTCAAAGTCAGATTTAAGACTGCTTCTCTACCAGCTCCCATTTCTTTAAAAAAAAAAAAGTTTATTCTTGAGTATTTTAAAACACTCTGCTATCCTAGGAATATTAACATATTAAGTTCTTAAACTAAGAGGTATATATTTAAAAATTAACCTAAAAATAAAGGCTTCCACATATTTTTTTTATTAAATCCTAGGAATACAGATGCAAACTAAAAGTCTTAACCACCATGTATCTAAATCACAAGGCTCTAAGCTGCTTGGTAAGTAGGAATGAAAGAACAGCACTGAGAATTGAATCTCAATGTTTTACATGGAACGCCTGCAACAGGCATAGTTTCTGATAAGTGCAGTAAAGATATTCATATCTGCATTAGTTTTTAAAAGGACATGTGATTCCATCTTCCAGCAATATTTTAAAATGATGAGAAAATGAGCACCGAAAGTATTATCAAGCAGTTCCATACCATTTCTTGGTTTCCTGCAGGTGCAGATTCAGGAAGCAGCTGTTTTGGAGGACGAACCACAGTGGGCATAATTCGATTATGAAGTGCTGTTTCCTCTTCAGTTGCTTCTTCCAAAATCTAAAAAGAAAATAATCAACACATTGATTCATGAAACTCATAAATTCAACTCACCAGTTCCATTTTAAAATAAAACATTATGGCTATCTTCAGTTAAGGGTTTTTTTTTTTCTTTTTTAAGTAAAACAAAATATAAATAAAACTAGTTTTAAAGTCCTAGTAACCTGTGGGAGAGGGGAGGTAGAGGTTAGTAAAGAAATAGAGAAAAACTTCTAATATTGCTCCTATAACCAGTTAAGTCTAGAGACTAGTTCTGTAAAATACAGAAGGTCCCTGCAGTTCCAAAAATTTTTAGTCTATCATCCAGAGATAACAGAAGAGGATTAAAAATATGCAGAGCTCAGATATGGTTAGGAGAACCGCTGGGTCAGGAGCTCACTGAGGTAGGAAGATGTAAATTTAGATTTCCAGCTTGTTGTTGTTATTGTTTAGTTGCTAAGCCATGTCCGACTCTTTTGCAACCTGAGGGACTGTAGGCCCACCAGGCTCCTGTCATGGGATTTCCCAGGCAAGAATACTGGAGTGGGTTGCCATTTCCTTCTCCAGGGCACCTTCCTCACCCAGAGACTGAACCCGCATTGAACTCTCCTGCATTGGCAGGATACAGCAATAAGGAAACAGTAGCCCAGGATAAACACAAAAGGACATAGAGGAGAGGTGGGATTAAACTTATCAGTCAGAATAGCTGATCAAAGCCAAAGGAAAAAAAAGTCACAGAGGTCATACTCTATAGATATAAACTACATCCCTGAGAGGAGGAAGGGCTGCTAAAATGAGGGGCAGTATTCCAGGGTACTGTTTGTGCAAGCACTGTGGGAGAGGGTGGGAAAGCAACCAAAAGACTACTTCTTCTCTCCTGAACTCAAGGCCTGCTGATGGGGCCCCAATACAACAGGCTCCCCCAGGCAGCCTTCGCATTCAGGGAAGACCCTTCCCAGGAAAAACAACATACCAACATACTTCTCAGGACCAACATACATATAGGCAAGGATAAAAACCTTGTTACAATAGCTACCCAGAGTATCAAATCAAACCTTCATTCTTAAATATGAAAGTAGGATGAAGAAATATAATGAAAATCAACAAGGAGATGTCCATGACATCTCAATTTTTTTTAAAAGTATAAAGGAGAAGATTACATATAGGAAGGGGGAAACACTGAACCTAGAGAAAATGAAGAATTCAGAAGCAAGAAGGGAACTTTAAATACAAACTAATACCTGTAAAACAAGAGCTGGAGGCTGGAAAATACTCACAACCAGAGCAAATACTCAGAAATTAAAATAATCAATGACAAAACAAACAAAGACGTGAACAAATAGAAACCTCTGTGCGCATGTGTGTGTTCACGTCTGTGTTGAGGAAGAGAGAGAGAAAGGACACAGGAAGTAGAATGTGGGGACTGAAGACATATGATCACTCTATTTTTTCCCTATGGCCAACAAACTGAGTTACTGAAATCACCTTACTGCTTAGACCTACTGCCTCAAGATACTGATCCGGCTTTCTCCTGTAAACATAAAGCAGGGCCCTGAGCAGGTCCAGATCTTCCTATGTTAAAGGCTGTTTGAATGAGTCAATTAAACTAAAGCAGAATTTCTACACAACTGTGAATATCTCTCTGGTGACATATCTTTAGAAATTACATAGTTCCTTATATAGTATGAGACAGACCAAAATCAAAACAAGTTGAAGAAATAATTCTTCTGTAAGTTAATTTTTACTATTTTCCTGAAGTTAACTGTACTTTAAAACATTGAACTTACCCACCCGATGGCTTCAAACATTTTCAAATCAAGTGGATCTCCAGAAAGCACTCCTTCAATTTTTGTAAGTGAATGGCAAGTAGCCATACAAGCAACAAACTGAGACTTTACCAACATCTCACTGCAAACCTTTTCTTCTGGCAAAAGAAAACTGTACAGAAGACACACTGAATTAGATTCATAAACCCAAGACTGAAGACAGTAGCTTAACAGAACTTTTCAGGTTTTATTATTTTTAAAAGTAGAAATAAAATGTTTGCATTTATGCACATATTGCATGTATTAATTTCATTACAGATTTTGACATTCAAAAACATTTTCTTCCATGAAAATTATTATACATGAGTAAAATATACTGTTATCTTAGATTCTAAACAACTAGACCAGACGTACCAGTACAAAAAATATTACATACTAAATAATAATTAAAACTCTTGCCTATGAACATATGGGAAATTAAAACACACACTCTCTTGCAAAAACATTAAATGACTGTGTAACACACTACATTTCAAATACAAAACTGAGCTTGTAAGAAAGAAAGGGAAAATTTTAAGTGCCAAAAACAGGGAAAGGACAACCAAAGGGGTGTGACCTTAAACAAACGCTGTGACTACAGGGGGAGAAGGAAGAAGGGAGGGGAGCCCTCTCAGTACACTTAAGGCCTTCGGTTTTAAAAACTGCACAGGAACAAGAGACAAAGCCCTGGCCAAAGTAGGAAGTTGGAACTGAGAGAATCCCTTTCACCAAGATGCTCTTGAAGAACTACAACCGTGGAAAAAGAAAAGATTCACCCATAGACTCAAATGCATAAGTAAGAACAAGCTTATCTCTTTTCCCCCACTCAAAGTTCAAGAAAATAGTTATATCTATATAATATTTACTATGTATTGGGCACTATTCAAAGAACTTTAAATTTATTTGCCTCATTTCATCCTATACCACCGAAAGGTGTTTTATTATCACCATTTTATAGATGAGGAAACTGAAGCAAGGGACTTGCAAGGGGACTTGGCAAGCCTCAGTACATAGGTGGCAAAGCAAGGGTTCAAACACAAGAGGTCCGGTGTCAGGGCCTGAAGTCTGAACCATTAAGCTACTCAGGATGGGATCTGTGTTTGAATATATATGCTACTGTCCAGTCCAGAAATCCCTAAGTTACAAAAGTAACATTAAAGTTTGCCTGGCACCACTGACACTACTTTTGGCCAAGAAAGGTCAAAACTCTCTGGAGAGGCACTCCCACAACACAGCTACAAAGGAGTCTCACAAAAAAATTCCGCTAAGGATGAATCCATAATTTAAAAATGAACCAGGAAATAATTCTCACGACTCAACAGACACAACAAAGACAGAATTAGAATCCCATAAATGGGAGATAATAGAATGGTGATCCGAAAGAATGCAAAGGCATTTTAAAATTACAGACTTTGAAAAAGAACAAGACACCATGGTGGGGAAAGGAGAGAGCCAGATTTGGAAAAAACCAAATGAAATTTATTATCCAGGATATGGTTAGGATTCCCAGATGGAGACAAAGAATGGGAGGAAAGCCACAATGGGAATAAAAAGAAGCTGCATACTTTCCAGAATTTATGAAAAGAATGAATCTTTGGAATCAGGAAGCAAAATTAGTCCCACACAAACAAAAAGATCGTGGTGAAACTGCAGAAATCAAGCATAAAGAAGTATTTTTTAAACAACAAAGGAGAAAAAAAAATTACTAAAGAAGACTAAGATATCTACAAATATGGCAATTTAATCCACAGGAATGGGATATAAGAAGCAATGGTTACCAAACCCATCCATTAATCCAGGTACATCTTAGCATGTAGAATGCATATGAAACCAAAATCATAAAAATCATAAAATGCTATACAACAAGTGCATACAAAAAGGGAGGTAAAAGTAAAAGTAGTCTACAGTCCATAGGCTTTATGGAGTTAGAAACTAATAAAGACACCCATAGGGTCTTCCCTGGCAGTCCAGGGTTAAGATTTCACTTTTCAATGCAGGAGGTACAGGTTCAACCCCTGTTCAGGAACCTAAGAGCCAACATGCCTTGCGGCCAAAAAACCAAAACTTAGAACAGAAGCAATAAAATCTTTAAAAAAAAAAAAGAGACATTCATAGACTTTAGACTCTAAGTATGAATATTAGTAACTTACAGACAAGTAATAAAGATTAGGATGTATAAATTCTGAAAAAATGAGAGAAATATGAAAACTGTGTGTGGGAACTGGGCTAAGAGAGTCGGTGGTAGAAATAATTTCAAATATATCTGAAATCACAATAAATGTGAACACAATGGCAGAGAAAGAGTGAGAAGAGATGGAAAAAAATACATAGGCATATATTAGGCAAGAGAAAGTTGGTATGTAAGCACACAAATATTCGATGAAACAGAATTAAAAGCAACAGGTATCATTAGGGATAAGTAAGTTCACAATGTGATATGCTACTTACCAAGATGTGCTAACTCTGACATTATATGAACCAAACAACAGTCTCTCAAACTGTATAAACCAAAATCCCATACTTTCGAGAGAGGGGGAAAAAAAAAAAAACAGCAAAAACACAACTATAGTAGTAAAACTTCTAAGCATCAAAAGATAGCAATAACAAAGTAAAAAAATATAAAACAGAGACTGGAGAAATATTTTCGTAACGCATAGTACTGAAAAAAATTATCACCCAGAAAATACAAAGGACTTCTAACAAATGAATAAGATAAAGACAAACAACACCATTAAAAAAAAAAAAATCAGGATATAAACTGACAATGCACAGAATGCCAAATAATCCTCCTTCCAAAAGTTTGAAAAAATGTTCAGTTTTATAAGTAATGAAGAAACTCCGAACAAAGCCACAATGAAATAACATTTCATAGCTATTCATTTGGGAAAATTAGAAGTCTGGCAATACCAAGTTTGGCAAGGATGCAGGGCAATAGGATCACCCATACACTGAGGGAGAGTGAGTTTGCACCATCACTTAGAGAGTAAGCAGACAGCACCTACTAGAGCTGTGGCCACGCATGTGCTGTATGATCCAGTATTGAAACTGTGAAGAAACTGGTTTACTCAAACTCAACCACATACTCACAGGAGCTGTAACACTAAGAATTTTAATTGCAACACTGTTTATGAGTGTGGAAGGAAAAATGGAGAAAAATTGAAACTGCTCTCTGGCTGAAGAACAAATATTATGGTTTAGTCACACAATGCCATACTAAAAATTAATTAAGACTAATAATTTGGATCTATACAGATCAACATGAAGGAATCTTGGAAACATGTTATAAGGCCAAAAGGTGGCAAAAACACATACAGTACATATCAGTCATGTATACTCATTTATGGGCAGATCTCGTTTATGGGTAGATATACAGGAAGTAAACTATAAAAACACGCAAGGATAAAAACACATCTTCAGAACAATGGCAAAGATAGACAAAGGGATAGGATAAGACTTCAGCAGTATCTGTAATGTTTTAAATCTTTTTAAATCTTTTTGCTTCAGAGATCTGAAACAAATATGGCAAAATGTCAACTGTTTAATCTCAGTAGTGGGTAGAGTTATCTGTCGTATTACTTTCTATATGTCTGAATGTTTCATATATTAATATATTTATTAAAAATAAATTAATAAAAGACTCTGATGCTGGGAAAGATTGAAGGGAGGGGGAAAAGGGGACAACAGAAGATGAAATGGTTGGATGGCATCATTAACTCAATGCACATGAGTTTGAGCAAACTCTGGGAGACAGTGAAGGACAGGGGAGCCTGGTATGCTGCAGTTAATGGGGTCAAAAAAAGTCAGACGTGACTGAGCGACTGAACAACAACAACAAATGGTCAAGTCTAGCTGATAATTACCGTGCATTTTCCACTCGCTGAATCCCCCAAAGATCTAAACCATCTTCAGTAAGGGTTCCAGTCTTAAAAAAAAAAAAAAGCACACATTTACAAAATCATGAAAAGCTATGCTATGTCTACAAAATAGAGTGCTATACAGATATAAAAGGGGTAAGGAGATGAGTAAGATCTCTGTGTGTGTGCTAACAGAAAATAACTTTCAAGACAAAATTGAGGAAAAGGGTATAGAACATTCCCTTGGTACAGTTCCTCTATGTGGGGGGGGGGGGGGGGGGGGAGATATGTGTAGAAATGTACACTTATGTGCTTGTGTTATTAAACAGTGGAACAATGCGCCACTCAACCTATCACAATGGATGCCAACACAGGAGGGAGAGATTAGGGCATATGGAGCCAAAATAGGGAAGAAGAACAAAGTTAAATGACATCAAGAAATGTAATCGGCCAAATTCAGGACATAAATAAGCTGGGTTCTCCAATAAGATGACTGGAAAAGAAAGGCAAGAAAAACAATGGTTACCGATTAACTGCAATCACTGCAATCTGTATTTGGATTACAATTGAAAACAGACTGTAAAGCAGGGAAACCTGAATATGTACTGGGTATTAGGTAATACAGAGGCTGTTAATTCTGTTAAGTGTAGTAGTAAGCAGTGATAATGGTATTGTGATAGTGTTTTTAAAACATTATTTTATCTTCTAGAGCTACATACTGAAGTATATGGATAAAGTAATATAATGTCTGATGCTGCCACCTTCAAAATGAGGGGACAATAAAGTAAGACTGACAAAATTCTGGTTAACTGTTTAAGTAGGATAATGGGTAAATGAGGGTTTATTTCACTTGCATCTTTCTTTGCACTTCTGGGTCTGCTTAAAAACTTTTTAAACATTTCCAAAAAAGCTCAAACATAGATAAAATTTTCTGAACAGATTAATTTAGTGTGAAACAGTCATTAAGTTACAACCTTCTTTTCTTCTTAAAAAAAATACACCTCACTTTTTTTTCTTGATAATAAAGATGACACACAAAAATCAAACGTGTATCATATCAGTTACCCAGAAGAACCTGGTCAAGATCTAGTTCTCTGAACTTTCAGAAAAACTGATCCCACATGAGGAAAGGAGAACCCTCTGTATTTCAAACAAGTAAAAAAATCTGTCCTTTTCACATGAAATTATATAATCAGTGTCCTTTGTAATTTTATAACACATTCAATAAAATCATAGAGCAAACACTAAATGTACATACTTCGGAGCAATAACATTCCAGGAAACATATCTGTATGAAGTCTAGTCTGTTAAAAACATGAAAGAGCAAATAAATTTAACTACTACTACAAGGTATAATTCTAGAAGGACTGGTCAATTGCAGATTTGGGCAAATAAACAATATCCAAAGTAATAAAAATTGAAAAAATAATATAAAAATGATACAGATGCCGAATAAGTTTTAAAAAAGGAAAATTAGAAAAACATTTCTTTTAAAATGTGTGCAAATTTGTTGTTAAAGAACACAGAAACCATTAATCTAAATACTTTAGGTTTACAAAACTACAAAGTGACCTTTGAGAATGATTATGAAACTGAACCAACCTTGTCAAAGCAAATAAGATTCAGTTGTCCACATATGTTGATCCTTTGGGGACTGATACAGAAAATACCCACTTTCTTCAGTCTTCTTTGGGCATACACAATGCCAGCGGTCATTGCAGCAGGAAGTGCAGGCGGCACAGTAATTGTAATGATATCAAGAGACTCGATAATTATATCTGCAACTTCAACCTACGGTTAACATAAAAATAAATATCAGGCCCCCCCAATATTAAATATTTATTAATCCAATGAGTATTTCTTTAATCTTATATATTATATATATATATATTATATATTTCTTTAATCATATATATTCATCTATTAATTATTTATAATTTTTTTCCCTTTTAGAGATGCTGCAAAATAGAAAGCTCAATGAATCGTCAGTGGGCTGTGAAATGAGAGCTATTTTTTTTTAAAATTCCTACTTTAATAGCCTCACATACTTCATACACTACATACTTTAAAGTAAACTACATTATTAGATATTGACTCTTACTACTATCAGAGTCTCTACAAGGAATAGAAAAAAGAAATCTGGCAAGGTGCCTTAGAAATATCTTCAAATCAGTAATCACAAATAATTTTAATGCTGTATATACCAGAGGTTAAAAAAAGAATAAAGCTTTTGGTGAGTATGTGATCACTCCTCCCTTTTTTAAGTCACAAGAAAGCAAATAAAAGACCATCTAAACCTGATTAAAAACTTGCTGCTATAATGGTGATTTTCTACATCTGTACTTTCTAACATAATAGCTACAAGTCTCATATGGCTCTAAGTTTAATTAATTTAAATTAAAATTTCAATTTTCCAGCTCGATAGACACATCTCAAATCCTCAATAGCCACATGTGATAACTAAGAATCAAACTCTATTAAAGGTTTCCCACGTACATACCTCATTTAAAATGTTATTGATAATAGTGTAGATAAACCCAATTGCAGCCACAGCCACTAGACACAGTAGAAATAAGTAGGCATCTCTGTAGAGTTTAAAATCAGTTGGTTTGGGATACAATATGGAGCGAACAAGCTGTCCTTTGGAAGTACTAAATCCTTTTTTAAAAAAAAAGTAAAGAAGAAAATGATTCTATAGTAACTCTATCAGAAAATGATAATTATCTCTCAAAATAGAATCTCTCTTTAAACATGCAATAAGCATCAAATGTGCTAAACCATGCAAGAAAAGATTAAGTATTTTCTACCTGTTCTAACTACTATGGCTTTGACAAGTTCTCCAGCGTAGAAACGAGTCTGAATAACAGTTGTCCCACAAAACAAAGTGTGTCGTCTATGTGTTTCTGGACTATATAATTCATCTCTCGTTCCTTTCATGTCCACTGAAGGATTTGGCAAATTAGTTTTTGTCACTGGAACACTTTCTCCTTTAAAAAAAAATTCATAAATTAAAGTATAGAAATCAGTATCAAACACACAAATTTTGAGTGGTGTGTTTATAACTTGAGTTAATAACTGTTAACAACAGTTATTAAAAGTTCTCAAATGTGAATAACACAGCTTAATCAATCAGCCTTTTATCTTCCAATTTCCTTACCCAGAAACAGCAAATCTTGTCTTCCACAGTAATTCTCGAAAGTCATCTGTGACTCAAAGGTAATCACTTGGAAATAATTATATCACGTTTCATAAGAAGACAAGGTTGTTGCCATCACCACAGCACCTGTTCTGGTACCCCTGAGAACTAACTCGGGAAGCACTCTGCAACCCCAAGAACACACAACATGTGAAGATCAACTCCTAACCACCCCCACCTCCCAACAACCCCCTAGCACACACACAGGCATGAAGCGAACAGCCATCTGAGAAAAGAGGAGAATCCTCTAACAGTAACAAACAGACGGATTATTTTACTGCTACAATGTTATGCTCTGTAGCATCCACACTTCCTGTGTCAAGGGCAACAGCTGTGCAGCGATGTTTGTGTGCATGAGTATGTTTCAAGACAGACTCTTAATAGTTCAAAAATGTATTATATAAGAATCACTTTCTTGCCAGATTGACTATGACAATTAAAAAAGTCATATGATAAAAAGAAATAAACCTCTACCTCTAGATTCTGAATTTCCAAAGGGAAGTTATTTTGAAGTCTATTTCTCCCCAATTTAATAAAAATATCAACTCTTTTATTCCTACATGTTGTACATCAAAGTGAACAGCAGTAAATAAGCTGTGGGGAAAGAAAGAACTTTTTTATGAGTCCCTTCTATAAAGCATTTCCTCCTGTCAGAAGAATGAACAGAAGCTGGACAAGAGATGGTAGCACCAGCATTATACTTCAGTATTACAGCTGAGTATAATGCAGGATTTGGTTCCCTCAAAAAAAAAAAAAAAATTCAGTATCTATCACGTGATGTTTGTGAATACAAACTGCATAGTTAATGCTAATACAAGCTTAATCAGTAACTACTTAGTCCTATCATTATAAGCAACTCAGCTGGTTTTTACTCATTTAATTTAGTTTACCTGTTAACATGCTTTCATTTACAATGCAAGTACCGTTAATAAGCACTGCATCACAAGGCATGACTGTCCCATTTAATGGAATGACCATGACATCTCCCGGCACAAGGTCTGTAGAAAAGATCTCTTCTATTTCTGAATTTAAGGAAAGAAAAAGAAAGACAGGTCTGGAAAGAGTATTCTTTAACTTGTAATAAAAATACAACAAACTAAAGATCTATCCAAAGGTTACCTGATCTCAGTAGAACATTAAAAATGTAATGGAGTTAAATAAGAAAATCCCAATAGATGAAGAGTTCTGACAAAATTATTATTCCTTAAGCTAACAGAGCACAGTGTCTATAATGTGTCAGCTAGTTTGTCCCTGGATAGTATGCCAAGTGCACACAGTTAATGCCAAGTCCCCTCTAAGCTAACAGATGGGTGGATTTCAACACTCATTTCAACAGTGGGTGGTCAATCTTAGCTATCAGCCCTGTGAGCTAAACAGGCAGTAAGTCCACCCAGGACACTCCCCTGCAATATGTACATAACCTCAGACTTCTATAATCCCCTGGAAACAGAGAAAAGCACTGAAATTTTAGCACTTTCTAACAGGATTCTTTTCCTTATGACTACTATTTATAATCCATATTGTTTCATTGTCTTCTCAGTATTCCTAAAACAGTTCTAAAATATCTTAGACATTATTTCAAATAAATGTATAAAATAAAACTTATCATACCTAGTTCATTACTTCCTTAGAAATTTATGTATTATATTCAAGTTAATCAAACACTTCTTTCAAGATCTTCTCAAGTAAAAAGTGGCCTTATATTTGGGCATTCTTTCTTCCTCTACCCCTAGATTTTATTAAACTATGCTTAAACGAGACTTACACTAGTTTCTAAGCAAAGATGGGTGAGGAGAAGACTACTGTTTGTGATGTTGGCCCTGAGGACAAATATTCTTTTGTTTCTTAAAAAAAAAAAAGTAGAAGTAGTTTACTAGGCTAAAAGCAAAGAATTATAAAGTTATTTAGCATGTAGTAAGTATAATAATCTTCATTTCTTAATATGATCCTTTATTTTAAAAACTTGACTCATGGGGAGGGAGGTGGGAGCGGGGATCGGGATGGGGAACACATGCAAATCCATGGCTGATTCATGTCAATGTATGGCAAAAACCACTACAATATTGTAAAGTAATTAGCCTCCAACTAATAAAAATAAATGAAAAAAATATATATAAACTTGACTTAATGCCCTCATGCCACTTGAAATTCTAACCCTTTAGGCATACGGGGAAACTAAGTATCAATGATCTGTTGGACTACTGAGGGGGTAAAGAAGAAATACACTGAGAGATGCCCAGCATCTTTGGTAGTGGCAGAGCAGGAAGGGAAGGAGCATCAATAAACCACACATCTTAAGACTGCAACTAGCAAAGGCGATATTATCAGCTAAAGTAGCAAGTGACCAAGAAGCACAAGGAAGAAAACAACCTGCTAGGCCAACTTTGGTTCACACTTGGATGTGGGATACGGAGTCGAAGAGAATGCAGACTGATTTGGTTTTCCTGATAAATCAAAGAGGCTGCTGTCTCCAAGACCCATGATGCTGAGCTGCCTCCCCTGTATCCTTAACCTCTTCCATATATCACCAGACAAACCCATGTGTCCAAAATGTTATCCTTCCCAAAAATTCTGCTTCTCCTCCAGTGTTCCCTATTTAATTAAATGACACCAACATCCATCCCCCACCAGCCTGACACCACTCTATCAGCAAATCTTGTTCAGTGCCCACATTTAACTATCTTTCAAAGCCATCTCTCCACCCTCCATCTCCACAACCTTCACCCTGATTCATTTCATGCCTTCAATATTACTTCCTTCTAAATAAGTTTGAACATGGCAATCGGAAGGATTTTTTCAAATAGGCAAATACGATCATATCAGTTCAGTTTAGTTCAGTTGCTCAGTTGTGTCTGACTCTTTGCGACCCCATGAACCGCAGGCACGCCAGGTCTCCCTGTCCATCACCAACTCCCAGAGTTCACCCAAACTCATGTCCATAGAGTCGGTGATGCCATCTAACCATCTCATCCTCTGTCATCCCCTTCTCCTCCTGCCCCCAATCCCTCCCAGCATCAGGGTCTTTTCTAATGAGTCAGCTCTTCGCATCAGGTGGCCAAAATACTGGAGTTTCAGCTTCAACATCAGTCCTTCCAATGAACACCCAGGACTGATCTCTTTTAGGATGGACTGGTTGGATCTCCTTGCAGTCTAAGGGACTCTCAAGAGTCTTCTCCAACACCACAGTTCAAAAGCATCAATTCTTCAGTGCTCAGCTTTCTTTATAGTCCAACTCTAACATCCATACATGACCACTGGAAAAACCACAGCCTTGACTAGACGGACCTGTGCTGACAAAGTAATGGCTCTGCTTTTTAATATGCCGTCTAGGTTGGTCATAACTTTCCTTCCAAGGAGTAAGCATCTTTTAATTTCAAGGCTGCAATCACCATCTGCAGTGATTGTGGAGCCCAAAAAAATAAACTCAGCCACTGTTTCCACTGTTTCCCCACCTATTTGCCATGAAGTAATAGGATCATATCACTCTCCTACTTAAAACTCTTCAATGTCTTTCCACTGCCTTTTGGGAGAGTCCAAATTCCTTCACAAGCCTTAAAAGACTATCTACCCTCTAACTGCTGCATCTGCCACAGTGAATTTCTTTCAGTTATTACAATGAACAAACTCTTTAATTTCCAGGCCTTTGGGCACTAGAATCCTCTTATCTCCCTCTCTCACCACTGCCTTATCACTTTCTCACCTATACTTTATCTGGCTAGTTCAATCACTTAAAATATACCTGTTCAAAGAAGCCATCCATAACACCTATAGTAAATGAGCTCTAATATCTAAGTTCCCTGAACTCTCCCTATCATTTATCACACTTCATTGTTCTGTTTATCATCTGTCTTTCCAACTAGACTGAAGTTCAATGATGGCAAGGACTATGTCCATCCCGAGAGCCTAGTATAGTGCCTGCCACATTACAGAAACAGAAAAATACAATTTCACATAAATGAATGAACTTGATACAGAGACATGACTATAAATCCAAACACACATTTTTTTTCTTATGGAACTACGTGTATATGCATAATATATTGGGCTTGCTTCACACATTAGTGCATAGTGGATATCTTTTTCTATTTACTTTCCTAAGAGTAAACTGAAGTACTTACCTTCATTTACTCTGCAAACTGAAACTCTCACAGTACTGTGAGCCGCCACCATGTCATGTAACATAATATATTGCTGAATCAGAGGAAAAAAATTTTGAACTCATTAATATAAACTCACTCTTCAATCTATTAGAAAGCAAGGGTAATATAAAATAAGCTAAGCTAATATAGCACTAGTGGTAAAGAATCCACCTGCAATGCAGGAGATGCATGACTTGGGTTCGATCCCTGGGTTGGAAACACCTCCTGGAGGAGGAAATGGCAACCCACTCCAGTATTCTTGCCTAGATGATCCCATGGACAGGAGTCTGGTGGGCTACAGTCCATGAGGCGCAAAGAGTCAGACGTGACTGAAGTGACTTAGAACACAAGCTAATATAATAAACACATATTACTCTACCTTTAAAAAAGTCAAGACCAAAAGATTCAAAGATCATTCAATGTTTCATCCCCAAACAAAATAAGAAGCAGTTTAACAAGACAGCCCTAAAAACAGGAGATTCAGCCCTCCAGTATTCCAGTCTAAGATAAGCAACTAGAGACCCCTAAAGCGCCAAAGCAATCAAGTGATACTCTGACTTTAAAAAGCATCTGTGTTCCTCCACCTCAGAAAGAGGGCAAAGGAGTACATATTCACATAACTAAAAGAAAAACTGTAACAATAACATGCTTTATGCCAAATATCATTCTGCACACCTTATGTGTTATTATAAAGTACAATTACAGTTGTGAAAACCGTAATAAATTGGACTCACCTTTCTAATGGCATACAGGGAGCTTATAATTGATACTATAGACATAATCACAATGGTTATAGCATAGTAATAGTATTCATCTGTGCTCCAGAGTATAACACTGAACAACTGGAAAATGTAAAATGGGTTGAGAACCTAAAAAACAAAATTTTTAAGTCAAATTGAATGAGATATTTAAAACCATACAGATTTAAGAAATAACTAACAAGATATTAACAGGATAAGCTCTATAGTACCCTAGGGCAACATATAACTAACTACCCAAAGAGTAGAGCAAGATACTACCTTTTTAGAAAAGAATCATTAAACTACTAGAATTTTACTAAATAAGCTTAATTTATTTATTTTTTTTTTTAGTTGTTCTTTTTTTTTTTTTTTTCCATTTATTTTCACTAGTTGGAGGCCAACTACTCCAAAATACTGTAGTGGTTTTTGTCATAGATTGACCTGAATCAGCCATGGATTTACATGTATTCTCCATCCCGATCGCCCCTCCCACCTCCCTCTCCACCCGATCCCTCTGGGTCTTCCCAGTGCACCAGGCCCGAGCACTTGTCTCATGCATCCAACCTGGGCTGGTGATCTGTTTCACCCTAGATAATATACATGTTTCGATGCTGTTCTCTTGAAACATACCATCCTCACCTTCTCCCACAGAGTCCAAAAGTCTGTTCTATACATCTGTGTCTCTTTTTCTGTTCTGCATATAGGGTTACCATCTTTCTAAATTCCATATATATGGAATTTAATTTAAATTGGGAGCATCCAGTTAGATTGATACCAAACCCAAATATAGATTCAGCTAGAAACAGCTAAAATGTGTGAATTTAGCTGTTCTTCATTTTGCCTTAGCAAAAAAGCACATTTACTTTCAATAATTACTGTGCTGTAAAAGAGTACAAAATGTTTAACCAAATGGAACAAACATTTACTTATTATGAACCTGAAACACTAATTTACTTATAAGTCAAAGGTTCACTGAAGTCCAAAGAGAAGACAAATATGAGATAAGTTACACTGCTTTGCTTTCCTAAGGAAATAAATAAGGCTTAAAACCTGAATAGGAAAAAAAAAAAAGAAACAAGGAGTCCTGCTAAAAACAAAAAAAGGAAAAGATCTACACAAATTAAACCCAAAACAATTAGTAACAGGATCACATATAGTGATAATTACCTTAAATATAAATGGATTAAATGCACCAACCAAAAAACAGGCTGGCTAGGTGGATGAAAACATGTGCATGTTTGCACTTCCACACTTATTATTTTTGTGACTTTAAAAAAAAAAATTTGAATGAGGTTTGAAATTTCTAATCCAATTCTGAGAATATAAAGAAACACTAAAAAAAAAAAAAAAACCCCACACAGGAAATTAACATGTGATACAGTATTAACAGAAGTACAGATTTTGTTCAAATTTCACAAAACTTTACACTACTGTCCATTCTTTTGTTTTCATACGTATTCAAGACTCCATATTGTATTTAGTTGCATTGAGCAGCTTCAGCTGCATGCAACAAATTCTGATAAATTCTCTTTTCACTTCTATTCTGTTAAAAATATTTTCTAATCTTCCTTGTTATGGCTTCTTACATACACCCATCATTTAAACATGGACATTCAATTTCCAAATACATGAAACCTTTAAAGTATCTTTGATATTAATTTCTCGCTTAAATCCTTTCTTCTCTGCAATCACCTTCTGTGTTTTTTCAGTCTTTTAACTTTACTGAGGCTTTTAATGGCTTAGTCAAAGATCTCTAACAGTAAATGTCACATAGCATTTATAAGTATGTGTGTTATTTTCAAGTATATTTTGATATTGATTTCTAACATAATTCCATAGTGGTAAAGAGAATAGACTGTGTGATTTCAATACCTTTAGACCATGAAATTTTTCCACCTTGTTTTATGTCCCTGGATATGGTTCCAGTGTCTTCTGGTTTATAGCCTATGGGAACTTGTATAGAAATTGTATCCTGTGGTTATGTGAAAATTATATAAATCTTAATTATTACTATGTTGAATTGGTTCATACTGCTTTTTAGGTCTACTACATCCTTCTACTTTTCTATTTATTCTATTAATTTTTGAGAGTTTGATATTGAAACTCCAATTAAAAACCTTAATTTACTTAAAAAAATAATTGTAATGTATAGTGGAACTATATGTAACTTTCTTCTGCATTTTCCAAGTCTCCTGTAAATGTGTTATCATCCTTTCATAATCTAAAAAAATTTAAAAGATGTTTGCATTGATTTGGCCAATAAAAAACCAATTGGCAGGTTTACTCCCCCCAAAAAAGGAGTCTTGCTAAAGGACTTTGACTATCCAAATTTTATAGTATTTTATCAATTTCATTAATAATCTCCAATGTCTTAAAATTGATGTTTCTGTACTTTTCAAAGCACTTTCACATATATAATCCTATTTTACTTCAAAATCAAATGAGGCCATTAAAGGATTTACTACAATTTTACCAATACAAGAGCAGCAGGGAGGTCTTCTAATGATCAGAGCTAGTTACTGATGGCGTCATGTTACAAGCTAGTCTTTCTAATTCCGACTCGTTACATGTTGCTGTGCTCTAAAGCTCCATTACACAGCTACTCTCAAGAAATGATGGAAGAAAATCTAACTTCTTCTCAAGGTACTGACCCAGTACAGCTCATTCTGATCCTTAGCCCCAAATGAGAAAGAAGACAAAGCCGCTCACCTCCTTTCTTTACATGCCACAGCCCTTTACTCACACCTCCTCCATGGCCCCTGCAAACCAAAGTCACTACAGGAACCACTGACCTGTACTCCCCCCAGGCTAAAGTGCAAACTCCTGTCACTCATCACGGTATGTTCTTAATTCCAAACATCTGGCACGATGCCTAGTTCCTAAGAGTATACCACATGAAGAAAACATGATAAATTGTTTTTAAAATTGGGGGTGGGAGAGACAGAGGTACACATCTGCAAAATAGGGCAAGGTTTAGATGCACAACTTCCTGAGAATAAGAAAAAAATCTACAGACAAAAAAACCAAAAAAATCAGACAAAATAAAAAAGTAATCTTTCTGACCTTCCAAGAAAAAAAATAAGCAAAGAGAAGTCAGGAAACAAAAAAACAAGAATATCTTCTTATTACTTAAATCCTGGCTCTTTTCAACTGACAAACCTATTGATCACAAATGTTAAGACAGGTACAATTGTCTTACCTCCTTAACCAGGAGCTTAAAAACTGAAGGCACTTTCACAGCAATTTCATTTACTCCATAAAGCAATTTTCTATAACAGGAAAATATAATAAAAATAATATTACACTATACTGTATTTTAACAGTGCAATTTACGGAAAGCATTGCATTAGATAAGGCTCAAAACAGCAACTGCTCCTTAATTCTGGAACTTAAACATTCGTTTTTCTAAACAATTGTCTTCTACAAGTTAAATTCTCTATCTACAGTATTTAAATCAACATAGTCAATACTGGATAACTACACTGTTATTATTTTATCTTTTGTGTGACAAATACCTCTCCCACTAATCTACAATAAACCATGTCAGCAAAAGATTTTCTTTTCCACCCATATACACAATACAGCTCAATAATTCTGAACTGCAATTAATTTTTCCAAGAGACTACATAAGTAATTTGAGGTGTCCTGTACTATTTTTCCAATAAGAATACTGCACTAAAAATGTTTATTTCAAAACAGTATACATTTGGTGCCTTTTTTTAATGCTTAAGAAAAGTTGCTTAAAACCTTCCACTTAAATCCTTTATAATAGTACTCTCTAGATGATAAATTAATTCTCGTGTTTTATGAAGCAGAAGTGTGAATGAATGAATTTATATTGCAACCCTTTAAAAGAACATGCTAGAGGAGTACAAGAAAATTCCTAATTTAATCTGAAAATGGCGTTTACAATACATAATACACTGGTATACTTTTATACCTTAGCAAAGAATAACACTATAAAAAAGATATTGTCTCCCAATTTACAAATTTTGATTTTAGTAAATCTCAGCTCATGCTTACAATTCCCAATATTTCAGTAAATCGAAGATGCTATCAATCGTAAGACATTCCATGATTTTATGTATTATGAAGAAAGATTAAAATGCTGTCAAGTAAAGGGTGACACTCCACCCACTGTATGACACACCCTCCTTTTAGAGATGTTAAAATGTAGGAAAGTGTGCACCTTAGAAATGACAAAATACAGTATATTTTCAGGGATATTCACTTCAAAATCAGCTTCAACACTTTTACAATTCTTAAACTTAGAGTCTCACCCAAATAAAATATCAATAAGCTGTCAATTACTATGTTACAATATTTAAATACTTGTTAATATTACAACTATATGGTAAAAGGGTAAACTATATATACTACTTTATTCCAGAATTTTGATAATAGATCTAACTTTAGTTGGATAAAGATTACCTGTAGGCATGCATCCCTTTTGTCAGTCCTGCACTATGCTTTTCATAAATTGACGTACAAGAAACACCTTCATCCAGTCCCCTAAATAAATCCAAAGTTTTTACTTTAAACAAAGTTTAAAATATCCAAATTTCTTAATGCCTCATTTTTCTATATTCCTGATTTTAAAGTGTGATTTCCTTACAAATAGAAAACCCTAACAAAAATTGAGACAATGGATGAGAATTTTTAAATATCCACTTCCTAAGATAAACAGTAATAAAAGGCCTAAATCTCAAATGTGGCAACTTCTAAGCTACCCAACGTATCTATCACAGGTTAAGATTATATAACAATATTATTATCCTTTAAGTCTGTGCCAAAGCTGTAACATTTAATAACCAAAAAAATTAAAGGTGAAGTATGACTAACTCGAGTGTTTCAAACTTTACTTTTTATCGTTTCCTTTCTTAAATTTTGAAGCTTCACACTAGTAAGTCCTACTCACTTGTTTTTCTTTCTACAAAAGCATCAATCTGAATTCTCTCATTTAAGCAGAAGTGCAGAATTCGTCTAAGTCACAGACAATGTCTAAAATCTGTAATGATTAAAACTGAGATTCGACATACCTACTTTCCTCTCAAATGTCTTAATTATGCTTATTTTAACTGAGATACTATTCACAAAAACTCTATAGAGAATTAACTCCAATCTTTTTCTACTTTTTCCGAAAGAAAAAACTAAGCTCCATAGTTAACTGCAATCATTGGAATAAGTTTAAATCCTACAAGTTGCTATGGTTGGCAAAGGCTACACAGCAAACAGGTTTGCTGTTTTCCCCTAGGGTAGCAGGGATCAACTCCAAGTCAAAATTTTTTTAAGAACAAAATGACAGATCACTGGCAGTATTCTCTAAAAACAAAAGCAATGGTTCTTAACTAGGAATGGTCTTCAGAACTAGGCAGGTGGAACTGCCCTGCTCCATTCCATAATATTCCAATTCTTTAGGAATATTAGCAATATTCTTTAGGAATTACATAATTCTTTAGGAAACATGTGAGGAAAAAAGTCCAAGCATGAATAATTCAAATGTTCATAAGGTGATTCTCTTCTTACTGCTAATATTAAGAATTCCTTTGCCACTCTCAAGCAAGGATACTTAATGGGTATTTATGATAATCACTTTAACAGCAATAAAAATAGAATCCTAAAGGAGTTCTCTGGTTGCCTAGTGGTTAGGGTTTTGGGCTTTCACTGCTGTGGCCCAGGTTCAATCCTTGGTGAGAGAAGTGAGACCCCACAAGTTATGTGGCGCAGACAAAAACAAATAAATAAATAAAATCCTAGTAAATTCAGTGCTGATGTAACTTGAAGTCTCCATAAAAACCAAATTTTAAGAAATTATTCCAATTTGTCCTACCCAAGGCTTAACTCATTTGACCATGTCTCATCTTTATCTACATACGAAAGTTAAATTTAATGTTTGTCTATCACTCCATCCCTCAAGTATTGAATACAAATGGATGAAACCATCAGTAAATGGAGAGGTAATAATTCAGATACTCAGGCAGGCTAAGAGGTATACTCAAAATTTACTCTGAGATGAATCCTCAAAAAGAAAAGTATTCAGAACAAGATTTTGGGAGCATGGTGCTTCTAACTTCTGTGTCAATTTTGCCAGGGTACAACTTGCAGATGGGGTTTATTCTAAACTGGTTACTGAGTATTACTGAGTATTTAAATACCACCAGGAAGTTATTAAAATTGAGTGAAGGGAAATCTTCCATCTTATATAACACTAAAATGAATTATTTTCTATCTAAAACATAATCAATACACTCATACAATCCAAACAAAAGAAGAATACTTACTTTAAGAAATCAAAATTGTGAAGGCTATCATTCCAGAAATATTTCACACTATGGTGGGTGAAGTAGCGAATCTGTAGAACATATAAAAAGGTTACATCAAAAGCATTATCATCACTTGCTAATAATTAAGTTTACTAACACAAATTTAGCATATAACAACTATTAAAATTAAAGCAATCACATGTGACATAATCCATTTCTTCTAGTAAATATTTAAACTTTACATATAGTGATAAACAGGTATTTTATATGCATATAGTTTTATCTTAAAAATAAGTACAAGTACAAAATTACAGACTATCTACAGTAGCATAAAATGTAACAACTCCAGTTTTTAAAGAAACACTGAGACTAAGATAACAATACCTGTTGTGACTGAGGCTGTGAGTATTTATTCATCTCAAGCCTATTCTCTTCAGCCAGATTTTCAGTTAAGTGAACTGCATGGCCATTTGAAACTTTATTAACCAGAGATTTTGAACTTGAAAATGGGGGAGTTTCTAGAGAAAGGAAGCGAATTTTTGCACAAAACCATGTTCTGAATTCATCCTTCAAAGAGAAAGGAATAAGGGTAAAGAGTCAATTATGCATGTTATATAACCATATATACAGTTTCCATTCTTTACATGATATGTTATTTATTAATACTAATCTCTAAAGAAAGTGTCACTTTCTACTCACTAGATGTTAAACCATTTCATGAAGATGCATAAATTCAAACGTAAAGTGTTCTTGATCACTTACCATTTTATATACGTCATTCTTTACTGATAGAGGATCTCATAAAAGATTGAGTAATTTCTTGATTTAATCCATCTACATACTAAGACTAGGTATTAAAGCCTCTTATAAAATACTTCCAATTAGGATTACAAAACAAAACCTGGGGGGCAGCAGCATTGCACAGAAGAGATCTGGGATACAGTCCTTTCAGGTAACCTTGACAGACCAGCCATTTATCTAATCTCTCAGCACATCAAGAGCTATAAAAGAGGGTAGATTTGAGTGGCTCAGACAGTAAAGAATCTGGCTGCAAGGCAGGAGAGCAAGGCTCCACTCCCGGGTTGGGAAGATCTCCTGGAGAAGGGAATGGCTACCCACCCAGTATTCTTGCCTGAAGAATTCCATGGACAGAGGAGAGCCTAGTGGGCTACAGTTCATGGGTTCACGAGGGGTCAGACATGACTGAGTGACTAACACTTTTGCTTTTTTTTTTTTCACTTTCAAGATTCCTTTAAACTCAAATCACTGGGATATTAGTCACTTGGAACACAGATACTTCAGAAATACCAGGATTAGTATTTCTCATTGTATCCTAGCAATGATGTTCTCATCATATTTTATTTTGAACAAAACACACATAAACACATCATTTTACCCCACAAATAATCCTCTACAAGTAATCGTGGGGGCTTACAGTAGTCCTAAGCAGCACCACCTCACAGTCTTTGATTGCAGCTCTCACACAGGTCACCTTCACCCGCCACTCGGGCATCCAATAGAGGAGCAGGAGAAGAAAGCCGCCGGTACACACCACTCCAAGAGAAACGATGGCAAGCTTCCAGCGACACAAATTGTAGCCATAAATCTCCTGTATGGACACAGTGATTAATAATCACATATCAAATGTTATGAGAGTTCCAACGTAACAACCCTTCCCCTACACACCACCAAGAAAGAGCTGAGTTTTACTAAGCTGATTTTAAACTTTCTTATAAAGGAAAAATTAGAAATTTTGCATTTAGGACTATATATAAGCATTAGTTAACATAACTTCTTAAGTTATATCAAATGAAAAAACATCTCTTTCCTCTGAGTTTTAACAGTTCACAACTGAAATAGGAAGCACACTAGAACCGTACGAGAACCATATTAATACCAGAGGTATTACATAAGCCCAATTCAAAAACACAGCCAGAAGGGAAAAAAACCACATTGACTTAGCTGTTGTTTTATTGTGCTTCATTTTAGTGTTTTTTTTAATGTACTTTTCTACTTCCCTAGAAAAATAAACTCACACCTCACAAGTAAATTGTAAAAGCTGGTTACCATTTCATCTTCCTGACCCTGGTTGATAGTCTTTCTTTCTTCTTTGTCCATATCTACAGTGGTTGGAAAGGTAGTGTGCTTCAGAACAACTGAAGATAACTGAGGGAAAGAGTAACAAACATCTCAGTAGATGCATACTGTATAGTAACTGCATACTATCAGACTTCTTGTTTGGATAAAAGTTTAACTGATATTTAAGTAATCACTAAAGTGTTAACTGATTCTCATGACATTTTCAATGGTGTGCAAATTCTTGAAACTGAATTACTTACTATTATAAAACTTGATATATTTCACTAATTAATTTATACTAGCACTAGCCCTGCTGCAAAGTCATTTAAATTCTAAGAGAAATTAAAGAATCTTCCTTTTTCAATCTCCACTCATCCACTGAGCACCTATCACATGTATGGCAATCCCTGGCCAAGGGTCAATCTTTAATGCAGGTGGACCCCTACTGTAGACCACCATGATTCCAAGTCCACTGAGTAATCTTATTGTTTCTGACTACCCATGATGCTCATTTCTAGCAGAAACTTTATTGAACTCACTGACAAAAAAATTTCTCCTGTATTAAAAAACAGATTAAATTAAAAAAAATAATAAAATAAAAAACAGATTAAATTCAAACATTAAAGAGAACTTCAAAATGGGAAACAGTGCAGATTTTCTTGCTTTTTTTCTTTTTTGGCTTCTGGAAAATATATATTTGGGAAAATGTACTTATCTACTACTGCTTTAGTAAGTTAATATTCTTAAAGATCTATGTGGCAATAATAGATATAACCCACATAAACAAAATCTTCTTAGAGTTCACAAAAATTTTCAAGAATGTAAAAAGGTCTGAGCCCTGAGATGGATGAGTGTTTGAGAGCCACTGCTTTAGACGTGGCTGACCTCTGCGGAACACAGTGAGAATGTTACCTCCCTCATTCTAGATGCCATGCCTCCACTCATATACCTGGTGGATAGCACAATCCTGACACCTGGCCGGTACTCAAAAAATACTTCCTGAGTGACCTGATAAAGAATTTAGCTATATAATGTTTACCTGATATGGATTAATAGGAAAGTAAAACAACTGCAGAATTTCAATTTAATCTCCCACATCAGACTACTGAAATCTCCTGATTTATGTCATCAAGAAAATGACCTATAAAAAACACTGATGTGTCCTGAATGGGCACTCAAAGTTTCTCTACCTTGTGGTAGCCCTGAAGACAGGGCTGAGGGTAGAGTCAGGGTTTTCCACAGAAATAAAATGCAAGAGTTTGATTACAAACACACATACACACACACAATATACATTGGACTTGGTGCCATCATGGAAAAGAAGCCTCAGAGTTATCCTGTTTTTCAGAGGAAAATAAGTTACATTATCATAAAAAACCTTTTAGGTAATTTAGTGACAATTTCTTCTCAGAGTAGGGTGTGTTGCAGCTGTAAAAAAGTACAGTACTAGAGTCATCCCACCAATATAAGCCTGTTCCATCAAATCAATATGACCTGAGGTAGCAGTTATTCTCAAGGGCTATACACCTGATGCCATAGAGTACATGCAGAATGAGCAAATCCAACCTCTTTCCGTGTAGAAAAGGTCAGCTATTGTTGCCTGAGCCTGTAAGGTTTAGTCCAATCCTGCAAGGTTTCAAATGTACATATGCCTATCTTCAAAGGGTAAGGCAAAGGAACTCTGCTCTGACACTGTCCCCACTAAAGAATCCAATCTGGGGTTCTTAACCTTTAATCTGTGGTCCTTCCTTAAATTCTGGCCTGAATCTCAGGGTCATCACTCAGGATTTCCCAGAGTCATTTTTAACAACCAAAATGTATAATTCTGACCCCTATTTCCCACCACCACCTAAAATATGCTTCTTGAGAAGAAGAACTTCTTCAAATGCTTAAATGGAAGCGAGTTCTGCTTCCAACCAAGATGTACAAACATAGACCAGACTAGCCATCCTAACTACTGAGTTGGCCAGAAAGTTCATTTGGGTTTTTCCATAAGATGTTATGAAAAACCCAAATGAACTTTTTGCCAACTCAATAAAATAACAAAATTAATAAAATATCCAAAACTATATAGTTTTCAAGGAACTAGGCGTCAACCAAAATTTTGTTCAGTCATTCAGTCATGTCCAACTCTTTGCGACCCCATGAACTGCAGCACATCAGGCTTCCCTATACTTCACTATCTCCTGGACCTTGCTCAAACTCACGTCCATCGAGTTGGTGATGCCATCCAACCATCTAATCCTCTGTCGTCCCCTTCTCCTCCTGCCTTCAATCTTTCCCAGCATCAGGGTCTTTCCCAATGAGTCAGCTCTTTTCATCAGGTGGCCAAAGTACTGGAGCTTCAGTTTCAGCCATCAATCCTTCCAATGAATATTCAGGGTTGATTTCCTTTAGGATGGTTGGATCTCCTTTCAGTCCAAGGGACTCTCGAGAGTCTTCTCCAACACCACAGTTCAAAAGCATCAATTCTTCAGAGTTCAGCTTTCTTTATGGTCCAACTCTCACATCCATACATGACTACTGGGAAAACCATAGCTTTGACTAGATGGACCTTTGTCAGCAAAATCATGTCTCTGCTTTTTAATACGCTGTCTAGGTTTGTCATAGCTTTTCTTCCAAGGAGCAAACGTCTTTTATTTCATGGCTGCAGTCACTGTCTGCGGTGATTTTGGAGCCAAGAAAAAAACAGTCACTGTTTCAACTGTGTCACTGTTTCTTTCAACTGTTGACAACTATCTCACTCAACAGAAGAAACTGATATAAAAATGGGAAGTACCTAGGTGAGCCCTATAATTGTCTCAGTTTACAAACTGAGTAATTACAGGATGCCAAAAAATAAATTAAAAAGTAGGACAGGGAACCCAGGGGGAGCACAACAATCCTCCTGAGTTGAAGAGATGAAGCTGGGAGTCTAAGGAAGTGCCAAAATGACTGGGTTTGCAAGGCAGATTACCAGAGAAGAAGTGTGTACAAAGAATGAACACTAAAAAATTCCAAAGTGGGGACTCTTCTCAAGTCTTCAACTGAATACTGATCGGCATTTCTGTGTGAGAAAACTACCAAGACCAGAGAAAGCCATTCAAAAGGTTTTAGGGGAAGAATGCAGCAGGTTCACATGGGGGAGAGTACCTGTTCCCACCAACCAGAGTGGGAAACCTCATTAGTTGCATGGAATCAGGAGGACCCAGAGTGTTTTGCTTCAGTGGGCTTCCCTGGTAGCTCAGTTGGGAAAGAATCCACCTGCAGTGCAGGAGATGCAGGTTCAATTCCTGGATCGGGAAGATCTGGTGGAGAAGGATAGGCTACTCACTCCAGTATTCTTGGGCTTCCTTTGTGGGCTCAGCTGTAAAGAACCCGGCTGCAACGCGGGAGACCTTGACTGGGAAGATCCCCTGGAGAATGGAAAGGCTACCCATTTCAGTGTTCTGGACAGGAGAATTCCATGGGGTCATAAAGAGTCAGACATGACTGAGAAACTTTCACTTTGCTTCAGTAGTAGTAGGTTCAAACTAGCCCCAAACCAAAAGCTACTCTGGTCCTGCCAAACAAAACTTCTAGGACTTGAAAGAATAAAATTGTTTCCAAGTAAATGCTTCACAGAACACAGTCCAAGGAGATTTACAGGAATGCAAACTATCTAGTTACCATGTCTGCTATCCAATTAAAACTTAAGTCTTACAAAGAACCAAAAGGAGACATCCCATAATGAGAAAAATCAATGGACAAAAGAGGACCTAGAACTGACAGAGATAACAGAATTGGTAGACAAGGCCATTAAAATAACTGCTGTAACTGTAGTCTACATGCTCAAAAAACAAGAGGAAAGACTGATCATGTGAAGCAGACACATGAAAGATACAAAAAAATAACCAAACACAAAATAAAAAGTATAATGTCTGAGATGAAAAATATACTAGATGGAATTAACAGTAAATTGGATATTACAGGGAAAAAATCAAAGAAGTTGAAGACAAAGTAACAGAAATATCCAAAATTAAAAATTGAGAGGAAAAACAGACTAAAGAGGAGGGAAAACGCTAGCATAACAGCATCAGTAAGCTGTGAAACGACCTCAAATACTCTGATATACATGTAAGGTAGAAAGGAACAAAAAATATGTAACTCTATAATGGCCCCAAAATTTCCAGATTATATGAAAAACTATAAACCCAAGGATCCAAAAAGTTCAACCAACACTAAGCAAAAACATTAAGAAATTACATCAAGGCATATCACCATCAAACTGCTCAAAATTGTGATGAAAATAAATTTAAAATGACATTAAATTTCTTGCTAAAAACAATGCAGGTAAAGACAGAGGAAGATCTTTGAAGTATTAAGAAAAACAAACTATGATGAGAATTCTAAACCCAGCAAAAAAATATCTTCCAAAAGCAAAGGTGAACTAAGTCTTTTTCAGATATAAAAGCTGGTAAAAAAAAAAAAAAAAGCAAACCTACACTATAAAAAGTTAAAGGAAGTCCTCAGACACAGGGGGTAAAAAAGATAACTGATAGTAATACAGATCTCTACAAAGGTCTGAAGAATACCAGAAACGGTAACTATATGGGTAATTATACACAACAACAGCACAAAGAACATTGAGAAATGAAAGCACACTCTTATAAGGTTAAGAAAGCAGAAAATGAACGGCAAGTAATACCCAGTGTAAGCAATTAAGAGAAAGACTAAAATTTAGAGAATAAATAAATGAAATTAAAGAAAAAGAGCTGGTTTTTTGACATCAATAAAATTATCATTTCTAGTTGCACACGGAAGTTGGGGGGGGTACGGGTACAAATTATCAATATTAGGACTAAAGCAGAAGACATTGCTTTAGATTATGCAGATATCAGAAGGAGAATCAAGGAACCAACAAGCAACTTGATACAAACATACTGACTTTTCAGCAGGTCTGAACTTACTTCCAAAAAAAAAATTTTTTTTTTTTAAATCATTATGAACCAGGGAATAGCCATGAGTTGATAACTGCTAAAACTGACTTAAAAGCTGAGTGATGGTCCATTAGAGTTCATTATACTAATTATTCCACTCTTTAAAGATGATACTATTCTTTCTACTTT